AATCTCCACCGCGACCTGTGACGTCGACGGCCTTGGTGCGGCCGTCGTCGCCCTCGCTGATGCTGAACTCGACGGACTCGCCCTCGCCTAGGGTTCTGTAGCCCTCGGATTTGATCGAGGATTGGTAGACGAAGAGATCCTCGCCGCCGCCGTCAGGGGGGAGAGAGGAGACCTAAACCCTAGATCAGATCTAGGGCTTCGACGAGAGAGGAGAGATAGAAGTTTGGCGCTGAGGGAGAACTTGAGAGTCGGTATCGGGGGGCTGAGAAATGTGATCGGGATTTGGTAAATAACAAGGGGCTGGGTGGGATTTGAAATATCTGTATCTGTGCTTTTAATTTCTCCTATCTCAAATAATTTGATTTGAAATCTTAACCTAACTGAAGGTCCAAACTAGAGATTTGGATTTGAAATACCCTAAATTTAAAATCCAGCGCCCAAATCCAAGTTCCCAAACGCAGCCAAAAGGTGTTTTCAGATTTCCGTCTCACTTTCCCCCAAATCAACCCCGATCCCTTTTCTCTCCCTCAACCCTAACTTCGTCGCCTCCGCTCCAAATCGGTCCGACGCAACCTCCGACCTCGCTGAAGCCTCCGACGAAACCTCCGACATCGCTGAAGCCTCCGATTCAACCTCCGACCTCGCTGAAGCCTTCGACGCAACCTCCGCTCCAAAGCGGCGCAGCTCCGACCCTCCGTCGCCGCCTCCGACCCTCCGACACTTCCTCCGACGCTTCCTCCGACATCGCTGAAGCCTCTGACGCCTCCAACAATTTCGATTCTGACGCCTCCAACAATTTCGATCAAGGTCGGTTTTTTTCCTCGTTTATTGCTGAAAGAATAACTGTGATATTTGTTCCCCTTTTACGTTCCAATTATTTACTAATAACTGTGAGATTTGTTCCCCTTTTACCTTCCAATTACTTGCTAAACACACCAATCAAAACTGGAAAAGTGTGCTGATTGTGGCTAAGGAACTATATTTGACTAGGGTTTTGGTATGGAATATACCTCTTTCAACAAAACTTTTTACTTTTATTAGTTTCTGTGGACCAAAGTATGTGAATTAAAGCAGTAAAACTATCAAATTGGATGTCTTATAATTAATTAAAATGAAAAATGTGGGAGATTAGAATGGTGATCTGATTAGGAGAAATCCTGTCAAACTTGGATTTTCTATAGTTTGTAAGAATAGCGACTTGCTTCTGATTGATGCCATGGATAAATATTGAACTTAAGATTTCTGGTTCAAAGTTTGGTCATCCTTGTCGAGAGGAATGAAGTATACAGCGATCAAGTTCTAGATGTGCTAGATACGCAGAATCTAGTGCCATTTCCAGTTCAAAGTTTGGCCGGACGACGGCCGGAGGTGGCGGCCGATGACGAATGACGGCCGACAAGTGGTTGGTGGTGGGGAGCGGCAACGGGCGAGAGTAAGGTTTAATTGGTTGGATGTCTATCATAAACTTTTAAAATGATGTTTTGGAAACATTTTTGAAAAATAAACACCATGACATGATGCTTTTTTAAAAAACACAACAAAAAAACGCTTTGGTTACCAAACATAGTATCCTTGCTCTATTTGAACTAAGGACAATAATAATTTACATGCCCAAAATAAATATTGGGCTTCGACCTCTTCACATGGAAATTAAGTATACCCTATGTTGTAACGCTCGTGAAAGTACTTCAAATGTTACAGCCATCCAAAATTAGTATAGGAGACCTCAGTGTGGCTGTGCTACTTTAGACTCAAACAACAGGACGTGCATGCTTCACATAGACTTGATGCGCCTATATAGAGACATTTGGTCTGTTGGAAGAAGGGGAAGCACCATTGTATTTCCCTCGAGAAATTTCATGCTAAATAACAAGTCCGAGAAGCGCAAAATCAAGTGGACTTACAATTTGAACCAAGGACAATAACAATTTACATGCCCAAAATAAATATTACTCGTAATCCTTGCTCGATTTGAACTAAGGACAATAATAATTTACATGCCCAAAATAAATATTGGGCCTCGACCTCTTCACGTGGAAATTAAGTATACCCTATGTAGTAACGCTCGTGAAAGTACTACAAATGTTACAGCCATCCAAAATTAGTATAGGAGACCTCAGCGTGGCTGCGCTACTTTAGACTCAAACAACAGGACGTGCATGCTTCACATAGACTTGATGCGCCTATATAGAGACATTTGGTCTGTTGGAAGAAGGGGAAGCACCATTGTATTTCCCTCGAGAAATTTCATGCTAAATAACAAGTCCGAGAAGCGCAAAATCAAGTGGACTTACAATTTGAACCAAGGACAATAATAATTTACATGCCCAAAATAAATATTACTCGTAATCCTTGCTCGATTTGAACTAAGGACAATAATAATTTACATGCCCAAAATAAATATTGGGACTCGACCTCTTCACGTGGAAATTAAGTATACCCTATGTAGTAACGCTCGTGAAAGTACTACAAATGTTACAGCCATCCAAAATTAGTATATGAGACCTCAGCGTGGCTGCGCTACTTTAGACTCAAACAACAGGACGTGCATGCTTCACATAGACTTGATGACCTCAGCGTGGCTGCGCTACTTTAGACTCAAACAACAGGACGTGCATGCTTCACATAGACTTGATGCACCTATATAGAGACATTTGGTCTGTTGGAAGAAGGGGAAGCACCATTGTATTTCCCTCGAGAAATTTCATGCTAAATAACAAGTCCGAGAAGCGCAAAATCAAGTGGACTTACAATTTCGTAATGGGCTTTTGGATCTCAAAGTGGAGCTTCCAAACAAATTTGCAGCAAACACTTGAGCAGGCCGCATATATATGACTCGAAGGTTCCTTGGCTCACACCTTACTGCGCCCGTGTTTTCTCTTAGGGCCTGTTTGTTTCCCCCAAAAAAAGGGGAAATCAAAGAAATGGAAAACTATTAAATCAAAGAATTGTTTTGGGAGTGTTTGGTTTGCTAAAAAAAAGAAGAAATCAAAGAAATGGAGATGAGTTGTCACCTTATTATAGGGTGATGTGAGTGATTTTTTAAGAAAACTTGTTTTGATGTTGTTTGGTTGGCGGAAAAAAAATAAGGAAATGAATTATAAGAAACCAATTTCTTAAAAAAGTTTGTTTGGTTCTTTCTTAACAATAAGAAAATAGATGAGATGAGATGAGCTGTCATTGTATTATTGGGTGATGTGATCCAAGATTAAGAAAAGCGTTTTCACAACTTTTTGGGATGAAAACAAAGAAATGAAATGTTAATGAGATGAGATGAGTTGTCACAATCTTATTGGATGATGTGGGTGATTTTTAAATATGAGATGAGATGAGTTGAGTGATGTTGTTGATGAAAATAATATTTTATTAGATGTGGTGGATGTGATGGATGAGTTGTTGGATGAAAATAATATTTTATTAGATGTGGTGGATGAGTTGTTGGATAAAAATAATATTTTATTAGATGTTGTGGGTGAGTTTTAGGGATGGAAATGTGTGAAATTGTACTTTTTGAGATTTCTTGCTTTTCATTTTTATTTTTCGGTTTTTTGGGAAATAACCAAACATGCCCTTACCAATAAAACCGATGAAAACAAAAAAGAGGGGAAATAGAGAGAAGATCGGCAGAGGACTTTGGTTCTCCAACATAAATATTCTTCATTTAAATCTATTATAAAAAATGATTTTTCATAATATAAACTTATCATTTTATAAGAAGCGGGTTTCTCCAATTTATAAATTTGTTGGGGTTTTATGCAAAACACCCAAGCTTCGGGAGGGTTCTAAAGACTTTACCCAAACTTCTTGGGGATTTGTATGCCAAACCTTCTTATTTGATTTTTGGACAAATTTTCAAAAACAATCTCTTTCCATATTTAATTCCAAAAAAAGACTCATTTCCACAATATTTTTAAAAATCGACATGGTTTCAGCCTTGGCGCTTAAACCGGGTCAGTTTTTGTGAAAAAAACTTCAGAACCCACACGGGAGTTCATGTCGGTTTTTAAAAATACTAGTATGGTGCACGTGCGTTGCACGTGTAAATACTTTCATGTTTATATGTAGCCCTATAATTTTTATTGCATTAATTAAATTTTTTTCTACTTGACATATACATGAAAGATGTCATAGATAATATGTATTATTTATGATATAAATAGATGTTATAGGGTTATAAATAGCATAATAAAAAACACTAATTTGGCATATAAAAAACCAGTATATTGATCAAAAAGACTATAAATAAATGAAGTAAACGGAATTATTTAATTATATGTTCACTTAATGTAGCATAATCAAATTTTATTTAAGTTTGATATAAATAGACAGAAAGGAGCTCAATTTTAGCAGGATTAATAAACTTCAAAAGATGCATCTTTGTCAAACTGTAGAGAGCCATAGGGAATCGGAATGCAGCAAAGCAATTTGATCTATAATAGCTAGAGTCTATGACCTGCAAACAGAACTGAATCGAGCATGATCAGGCATCATAAATTTATGGAAGATCAAACCTAACTATAAATGTTACATAAATGGGGAAATTACCTTTGAGATCAAAGATAGTCCGTTGCATTGTAAATAGTTAACAACTTAGTTAACAACTTTAATACACATTTTCGCTGCATATTAGAATATTGTGTTAGATAATAATTGTTTGAAAGTTAATTTGTACAAAATGTGCATCATAGAATGAAAAAATAATGAGTCATGAAATTGATGAGTTGATTTACCTTTGAGGCAATAATACTTCTGGATACACAATATTTTTTGCGTATGTTTTTTTTGTTCTTCTTGTTTGGTCAACTTTCACTAATACCTTAGTTGTTCTCATTGATATCCCCCTTGATAATGCAACATATAATTGACCATGTGAGAATACATGGTGTGGCAAATAAACTCCAACATAAGGTATTGTTTGTCCCTGCGCTTTGTTTATTGTCATTGCAAAACATAGTCGGATTGGAAATTGTTTTCTACGAAATTGGAATGGATAACCCTCATTTTCAGCTGGAGATAATGGTATTCTAGGAATCATGACATTTTGACCAGAATGTTGACCAATTGTGATTTCAGCATGGATAACATTATGTTCATATCCTCTACAGATCATTCGTGTGCCATTGCACATTCCATTAGATGGATCAAGATTACGTAACAGCATGATCGGACAATTTCTTTTAAGAATCAATTTGTGAGGCGGGAGTCCATTCGGCATTAAGGTGTTCAAGAACTCTTCTTGGTAATAATTATTTGTGTCATCTACTGCTTCATCAAAGCTAAAGAATGTTTTAGCTTCTCCAGGAAATAATGCAATTAATTTTTTATTAAGTCCATCAACATACTCATTCCTTGTTGAAAGAATAGCAAGTTGTGTCATGTATTCAGCTGATGATGAATTTGATTGTAATGATGGAAAGATAGCATCAATCAAATTTTTTTCAGAGTTTTCATCATTGTCATATTCTACTACCATTTCATGTGGAAGAAGTATCAAATTCTCATCTATTGTGGGTTCCTCTCCATTCCCAACGCGCAATAAGAACTCTCCAAATACTTGATCAGTTCTTGCTCTCATATTAATAGTGAGAGATAATTTCTCCATTTTTTTCCCAGAGATATGATTTCACAAGACTTGCATTGATTGTTTCTGCTCTAGTGCCCCGTGGAACAACTGGTAGAACTTGACGAAAATCACCTCCAAACACGACTACTTTTCCACCAAAAAATCTTTTGTCACCCATTACATCCCTCAATGTTCTGTCAACCGTCTCAATCGCAAATCTTTTTGCCATAGGTGCTTCATCCCATATTATAAGTGATGCCAATCGTATCAATTTTGATGTTCCATCCTGCTTTGATATATTGCACATTGTAGTTTCATTAGCAGTAATTGGAATTTTGAAGCGCGAATGTGCAGTTCGCCCTCCTGGCATTATTGCTGCAGCCACTCCTGATGTCGCTGTTGCTAATGCTATCATCTTTCTTGATCTTAGATTTGCAAGCAATGCACGATAAAGAAAAGTTTTACCTGTTCCTCCCGGACCATCCACAAAAAATATTCCAGATTTTTTTTTGTTGACTCTATCTAATATGATATCGAAGGCTTGTTTTTGCCTTGGGTTTAACTTTGATTGAGCATGAAAATCTTCAAATGGAATGTCTATCTCCCTTTCATCAATAATTTCTCTCGGTAAAGTTTGACATTGGTCAACATCATCATGTATCAGTAATGGTAGATCATAATCTGCAATATGTTTACCCATACTCTCAAGGAATAGACTAATGCTTTTTAATGTCCATGCAACACGAGCTGGTAGCATGTATTCATCTACTCCTCCCTTGAAATCTTCTGCCATCGCTTCAAAATGATCGTTCCATAATTTTCTTACATTTGATGGTTGGCAATAAACTAAAATAATGGCAAATAATCTCCGTAGTGCATAAGGCATTTGGAAGGTAGTGGCCTCAACTAAACAATCAGAAATACTATCATCAGCTTCTAGTAATCCTCTTTTTTGTGCAGCTTCCTTGAAGGACTTATATGCAATACCATCAACTGTTAAAAGATATTCCCATGAAGTAGGGCCCCTCACATGATTTAACAATAGACGTAAATAATATCTCTCTCCTTCTTTTGGGTTTGCAGCGTTTATACGACCAATGACAAGTTTGTGCTTTCGATCAGACCAAATCTTTGCTTGGTTACTCCACACGTAGTGTTCAGGAAATTCGACGTATAGAAATTTCCTTGCATTTTCAGTTGTTGTGCATTTTGTGAAGAATTCAGTGAGCATAGTTTTTGATGATCTTTCTGAACCTATTACATCACGAAGATCTCGATGTTGCCAATAACAAATTGATTGCTTATCTGGAAGATGTAATTGAAGACTAATGACTGGAGGAGTAGTTTCATTCATCTTGAATTCATACATTCTCCAAAATGCTTCTTGCGCTGACACCCACCGTCCATCTTGGAAATGTTTTATTTCATCAAACTTATTTTGCTCTTCGTTGTGTGCAAGGTAGATAGAGATCTTGTCGTGCCCTTTATATATATATTTATATAAATATTTGATCGCTTTTACACTTGAGCAGACCTCAACATTAATGTGGCAATTGTACCTGTTAAGAAGATATGACGATATCATATTTAGAGATTTTCTCACATAGTATATTTTTTGTTGAAATGTTCTCATAAATAATAAACTTTAAAGCTATTATGAAGATTGTACCTGGTAAGGAGATATGGATTATAAGGAACAACCCATTGGTTGTTCAACTCTGCTCGACGTACACATACTTTTCTACCATTATTTCTCCTCATGTAAATTGGATATGAATCTTTACCAACTATTGTCTTAGAGGAAAAAGGTCGTGGATAATGATGTCTACATTCTTGATTAACCATGCAAGGGTTGTCCATGCGCATGCATCATATGTTTGACAACCATTTCATGAAGTCTTGGATGAGTAGATACATCTAAGATTTCTGCTGAAATATATTTATTGAACTGGTCAGGAGTTAAGATTTTGCAATCTTCTTTCAATATAACCAAGATATGAGCATGTGGAAGCCCTCTTTTTTGAAATTCGATCACGTACACATGCGCTCCAACTCTTCCAAAGACATTCTTTTTGAAGAGTTGATCTTTTAGGTCTTCAAGTTTTGAACGGAATACGCGCGATGTCAAATCAGGTCTGTCTTGAGCAACTTGTCCCATTAGAAGTTCGTCTTTTATTTCTTTCCAATCTGGATTACAAGTCATCGTAATAAAAATATCTGGTTTACCAAACCTCTGAACCAAAGCCATTGCATCCATATACCGACGCCGCATGTCTCTTGGTCCTCCAATGAAAGATGCGGGTAAGATAACCCTTTGCCCAACTTGATCACCTCGAGTTTCACCGGTGGTTAGACTATCCACTATTCCTTGATACACTTCAGCTCTTATTTCAGATTGTTTGTTCCGAAAGTAATCAAGTCTAGTTGTCTCAAGTTTGATATACATGTCTACTACAAATTGTTGTAACAATCTTCCAGCAAGCAAAAACACAGATGATTCTGATTCTCTTATTTGTAACTTGTAGCAATAATATTCTCTGCATGAAACATGAGATTGTTTTGGCATAGTGACACCTATATGGAAAAAAATTTATTAACATTTAATATATGAAGAAATATTATTGACCACAAATGTTAAAATAAGTATATTTATGGGTAATTTACCTGTCTGTTCTTGTTGTAATAGTTCATGTACCGATGAGAATCGAAATTGACTTGAATTATTGTTTTGTTTGGAGATGGAGCAATCAATTTTCATGATATTTTGATGCCATCCGGATTCACCTTTTGGAAATAAAAGCGGGTATTGCAATGGATCATAGCAACCATAATAATGCTTCACATAATGTCTTTGACCAGAGTGTTCATGAATCACAATCTCCCTTTCAAATGGAACATTTGAATTATTCCCTTCAATCCATATGGCAGCAACTTCATTGGATGTTGGTGTATTATAGACCCGTTGATCAAGCTTGGTATTTGTAGCAATACAAACACGGATATCTTTGAATGATTCAAGATCTCTCAATGAACGAAGGAATATAGCATATGGATTATCTTTCAAGATTTCCATCACCATTTTCATAACGTCCTCATCAATTATGTTATTTTGTAATATTTTCATCCGATTGTGAAGCTCATTATCACAACCATGAAAGTACAATTAGAAAAAAGTAGGTTTATCTGTGTTTGGTATCAAACCCGGTAAATGATGGTAAATTTGCCCTTGTGCTCGAAATGTATAAACACCGTTCGTCGATGATGCCAAACATTTATCAATAGTAGCTCCAAATGAGGTGAATGAGAATAGACTATTGTATTTTCGGATATTTTTACGGAACTCTATTGCTTTTGTATTGTTGGACGTGAACAATGAGTAAAGAGTTGGATGGACATGCGTTGAAGCCAATTTGATTCGTCCATTATCGCAGCAAAATGTTGGCACTTCATGTTCAAATTTCTTTGCTCCACAATGAATACAGTGCGGGACTACTTTCATTTGATGTAACTCTGAGCAGGAAGGATTATAGAATGTGTTTCCTATAAAATAAATTAAGCGATTAGTATTTAATTTTGTATACCATGAGTTTTATCTAATTTTAGTGTGTTGAATATACCTTGAAATTGATATTCTGATTGCGTAGCACGAAGTAACCACTTCACTCGTCGTTTAGCGGGACTATGATGATCATTCAAGGCACTGAGACTTGATTCACTCCTATTTTCAATGGATCTATTTATATAAGAATTTCGCTCTTCTTGAGTGAGATTGGTATAATAATCTTTGAAGTAATTATTCCGCTTTCGCTTTCTTGAGGTCTCTCCATCTGCAAATTTATATTTAAATTTATTGATAATTACATTTTATAATTGAAGGAAACATTTTAGATATTAAGAACATAGTTCAAACCTCTATCAAAAGTCATCTCTGGTCTAGTCTGTTGAAATAAAACACATGCAAAAGCAATGTAATATAAGTAACTGTATGGAACAATTTATTCATATATACATATGCAGAATGAAGGAAATTTAGTCTGGCGATGAGCGAGAATTTTCAAGTATCATATTATGACTTGGTAATTCTCATAATGTGAAGTTATTTTGCTGTATATATGGAAATTAGATATCAATAAAATATGAAAATTACATGAATTAATTACATTTTCATATTACTGTGATGAAGATGTGATACGAATTTTACATATTGCATTGTGCTGTATATATGCTAAGTTAGCTATCAAATTATGGTATGAAATGTGCAAAGCACGTGTACCTATCCAAAAATATTATGATGTGGATATAGCTAAAAAAATATATAGAAACTCCCAAAATAAAAATAGAAATATTATTAAAAACGTATACCTCCTTTTCTCAAAAGTGGAATGCTTGCTCCTATGCCTCTACCAGGTTCTCTTCAAGCTTAAAAATAAATATTATTACTTTCTCATACTTAGCAATAGACTTTTCGATAAATATATACTTCTTAAAATAACATAACTAACTTGGGAGAAATTTACCTTCTTAAAATAACATAACCAACTTTGTAGAATCGTAGACAGGCACACATTCGTGGGGGTCCCAGACCACTCGAATAGAGAGGTCCCAGACGACTCTAATAGAGAGAAGGTATTAAGATGTGTTTTCCTTGTGAACTGGGGCTAGATGTTGGAGAAAATATATTAATAAACTTTTTTCTAATAGAGAGAAGAGATATTAAGGTTATTGGAGGTTTAGAGTTTGGATGAGTGATTGAACAATTTTCTGGAGAGAAGGTGAGTAGGATTTATACAGATATGAATGCAATTCAAATATTTTGAGGATATTTAGTTAAATATTTGGAATAAATTTTAATTTAAGAAATGTGTTTCATTAGGTAAGAAATTTTGTAAAGAAAAAACGTTTTGTATATTTATTGTTACTTACTAATTATTTGCTAGCCAAAAATAAAAATGGTTTAGCAAATCCAAAAACGTATTGCTCTCCCTATTTATTCTTATTTGGTAAGACTTGACTTAGAACATAATTATGTAGTAATAATGACTTGCCAAATAATTATTAAGTAATGAAATTATCATTAATAAATATTATTACTTTCTCAAAACGTATACCTCCTTTAGATGAACATCTAATGTAAATATTCAGAATTTAAACCATTATACAGGTAGCCCATGGACTTTCTATGTCTTCTTTTTTTTATGATTCTGCAAATCTTGTGTTTTATCTTTTGGATTTTGTTAGATCAAGAATTATTATTTTCCTTGCTGATTGAGTAAAATTTTCCTCATGATAAATCATTCTCATATTGATTATTAGTAACTTTTCAATCTGGGGACTCTCTTTATCTCAACATATATTGACAATGAGCTGATATTCATCGTGTATGTTATTAATTAATGACAATGAGCTTACGTGCATTTTTATGTTATTAATACAATTGATAACGTGTATGTTATTAATACAATTGATAACGTGCATTGAGGTAACGTTATCAATACAATTGTTATCAATACAATTGTTTGATTTGAAGGATTTAAAGAAGTATGACTTATATATGAATGCATGTATTTTGTGTGTGCATGTATGTATGTTGGAGGGCACTTTGGGAAGAAATGTTTTAACATACCAACACACTTTTATAATAGCGTGCGTGTATCGTGCGTGTATTAAAACAATTGTATTAATAACATAAAATTGTATTGATAACGTGCATTGAGGTAACATTTTTAAGATAGTGCATTTTTATGTTATTAATACAATTGATAACGTGTATGTTATTAATACAATTGATAACGTGGACATGAATTGTAACATAGTATGCATATATTTTAATGTATGCATGTATGTGGTATGTACACATGTGTTTGATTTGAAGGATTTAAAGAAGTATGACTTATATATGAATGCATGTATTTTGTGTGTGCATGTATGTATGTTGGAGGGTACTTTGGGAAGAAATGTTTTAACATACCAACACACTTTTATAATAGTAATAGATAATAGATGTACACATGTGTTTGATTTGAAGGATTTAAAGAAGTATGACTTATATATGAATGCATGTATTTTGTGTGTGCATGTATGTATGTTGGAGGGCACTTTGGGAAGAAATGTTTTAACATACCAACACACTTTTATAATAGTAAAATAGATTATGAAAAATGGTATGTTTTTGGGATTAAATGTCCATATGGCACCGTCTTAAAAATTTGTCTTTGACTTTTTTTTTTGGCTTTCTGAATCGGTCCTTACATGTCTAACATTTGCAACCACACCTTCGAGTCAATGAGATTGCCATTACTTCCCATAGCCGTGTATCTGGCGACTGCTCTCAATCGGTTGATGAATTTGAAACAAAATTTAAGAATCAAGGTACACAATAGCAATTTCAATGATTCAGAAGACTATTTTTTTTTTGCAACTCATATGAATCGGAGGATCAAATAACAATTTTAATGATTTCAGAGGCTAATATTGGAAAACACTTTCATTTTGCAGTTCAATTAAGCGTGTAGTTATGACAGTTCTGATACCTTAACACCGCTAGTTTACTAGTTAAACGTGTCCCGATCCTTTTTGTCAAAAGATCCGACCCGAAATGACAAATCCCGATCCCCCAGCTCCAAATACATCGCGTAGATCATACGCGACGCGTTAACCGTCCAAACAACTAACCTCGAATCTGCACCGTCCATTTTCACTTAAAACCCGTTTAGAGCTCTGACCGACCCGACCCGATCCGATTCGATAAATCGCCCTCTGCCCCTCGCTCGAGGAAAAATTAAAATTAAAATAAAAATAAAAAGAGAAGATGATGAGGATTTGAGGGGCTATTACGGAAAAACCCCGATACTATCTCCCCCCTTCTCTCACGCTCATAACTCATAGCTACTTTCGCCGGCGATCGACTCCGGCGGTTGTCGACTCCTTCGGCCGTGGCGACAGAGCGTGAGAACGCCGATCACCTCATCGCCGATCTCACGCGAGGTGCTCCACTGCTTGAAGATCCGTTTTCGATTTGATTTTTTGGGCGTCCAAAACCTACAAATTTCTCCACGCCACAAAAAAAAAGTTTAACTTATATTTAGTTTTTTTGATGATTTATTGCAGACATAACCTATTGCGGGACCCAAGCATGGACGACGATCCCTCGGGCGCTGCTTCGCAAGATGGGCGAGATGAAGGTCAGTTTAGATTCTCTCTCTCTCTCTCTCTGTTGTTTGTTAATACTAATCTAAGCTTAATATATATAATCGGAATAGGTTATTTTTTTAAAGGAAAAATATAGTAAACTTTCTGATAGCAATGCGCTCCAAAGATTCCTCTTAAGGAATTCTATTTCCTTTTAATTTTGGGATTTTTAATTGAATTCAAAACAAGTTTCGATTTCTTTGTTGGCTGGGGCGGAAGTCTTGTACGAATCTTTCCCGATTAAATAGTCACATCATAAGATATTATAAAGAAGTTTTTGAGTTGCTATGAAATGATGGCCGACTGAAGAATTTATTCTAATGATCTGTGTTGTTTTTTTGGTACTTTTTGTGTATGTCGGCACTGTGTATGATTTTGATTTTTAGTTATAATTATAATAGCATCATCAATGGTGAAGAAATTTAAGAAAGTGGATTATTTTAATCTGTTAGACTATTGGTTTTATCTCTGTTTGTAAACATTTCTTATTTTGCCATGCTTATATGTGTTTATCAACATGGAAATAGTTGTCATGCTTGCCTTTTTAACTTGACAGAAGAGGAGGAAGACTATGAGGAGAATGGCGATGGGAATCGGCTCTTGGGTTTTATGTTTGGAAATGTAGATGATTCTGGAGATCTTGATATCGATTACCTTGATGAGGTATTTCACTCTACCAAGTATTTTCCCTTTTATCTTTGTATCTGAGAATTGATGTTTGCATCCCAAATATATTTGTAGCAGTGCAATTTCTCTTGTGAAAAGTGCACTGTACTCGTACAACAATACATAAGAGGCAACAATAAACATTTATGTTATATTCAAAATGCTATGGATGGATTTTGAACTTTATACTAGTAACCATAATTTAGATACAAACTTTCTCATGGAAGGATCCCTCTCTCTCCCTCCCTCCTTCGTCCTCTTTTGCTGGCAACTCAAATTTAGTATTTTCAAGATCTTTTCCTTCAAACGTTATGGCACGGCTCATCTTAGGAGTCCAGTTACAGGAACGGACTGTCACTCACCATCTCTCCTACGACAAATCACACACAACAGGACAGAAAAGGGCAGATATTTCGCCAATGTAGACACATATCAAACATGATAGATTAATATTGTTTGCATGGGTGCGCACGCACGCGCCTGTCTTCTTCAAACCATTTTCAATGAATTGCTTTTCGAGTGTCTGATTATGTGTAGTAAATTGCTCTTCCAGCGTCTATTATGTGTATTTCTCACTTCTTTCAACCCTGGCTATTGAATTACTTTTTTAGTGTTCTTGAACTGATATTTTAACGATTTCGGATATTTTATATTTATATTTTCATATTTTGTTTATCAGGACGCCAAGGAACATCTTGCGGCATTAGCTGACAAGCTGGGTTCTTCCCTTACAGATATTGATGTATGTGAACCCCAGAGGCCATTTCATGCTCTTGAATGAAACTAACCTATTTATGAAACTCAATTTCTTTGTTTTTTCTCAGTCCTAGGAGACTTATTTATTTTCTATGTTGCAGCTAATTAAATCTTCACATGCTTCAGCAGATGCTACTGAACAAGGCAAGTATTTCATCTTAAATAAAATTAGTTTTATTGATACAAGGCTTTTGTAACAGATGTTTTATGGAGAAAATACACAATGGTCGTGTTTGATATAATTAGAGGAAGATTGTGGGTCTGAAATTATATATTTAAGAATACTTTTTGATCGGTAAAGCGAGTCATATGTCTTTCTTACTGTTTTTTGGTGAGTTCTACCATATTTTAATATATTTTCCACAGCATATCTGAACATTACTATTTCCTCGGTTCTGGGCCTATTAGTAACTATGCTGCTAAGTGCTAACCAGGTTGCAGCCTAATTTAATAGGGACATCCAACTGTGTCCTTAGTCCTGAAATGATGAGTGAGTCAGGTAACATCTACATTTATAGGTAAATTTTTTTATGGCTATTGGATGACATCAGGTGTAATCTATGTTCAGAACTACAAAAACTTGAAGGGGACAGGAATCTGAAACTCGTTTCATGCTTTATAAGGTTTAACATTAGCATTGAGACGAGCTTGATTGGGATATATTTTTCTTTTGGATTCTACAGATTTCCAGGATGCAGTTTATCTTTTGTGTTACTTATGTTTGTTTGGTTCTGTAAAAACATGCTATGTTGTTTGTTTGATTTTCACTTTATGACTACTTATATGCCACTAGTGTGATGTTGTTTGCCAGATGTTTGATCGCGCTGAATTCCTAAATCCCGAACTGTTGGGTAACCTAGTAGGAGTTGGATATTATCATGGGTGTTGGTGTTGGATGTTTGAGCTGGGTGTTACTATCTTTTCCTACTATTTCATCTTTTACACTAGTTCTCTGGGTTATGGATGCATGTGTGTGTCTTTAGCAATTAAGGAAGAACGCTGGATACTTAATTCTTTTGACTCCTTTCAAAAAGAAACAATAATAATAAACCTTGAGATACCCAGGTTTGATATTCAACCTAGTTATTATTTGAGATCGCTCATATAATATCACCGTGCCACTTTGTTTATAATGTTGTTCTGTTTGCTTATAGCCCAACACGTTCTTGAACTGTCTGGAAGCTACTGTTCATTCTCAGAAACAAATTTCATATGTGCAAGACGCCTATTTGTTTGTTGATACTTGCTTCATGAAGTAATGTCATATGTTCTTACATAGACTAGAACAGCAAGTGAAAATGGGAAAGTTTTAATGGCGATCCAGTAGAGTTTATAGCTAAATTCTGTTTAGTTTCCTTTATCTATTTAACTTAAAGGTTTGAATAAATCATTTTCATTTTTAAGTCTTGTAGACTATGATGAAAAGGCTGAAGATGCCATTGATTATGAAGACATTGATGAACAATATGACGGTCCAGAGATTCAATCTTCTACAGAGGAGGACCATTTACTGCCTAAGAAAGATTTCTTTTCTTCTGATGCATTGTTGGCCTCTTTGGATCAGAAAGGGTCTGTCTTTGATGAGGATAATTATGATGAGGACGAAGAAACTATTAAGGAAAATGAGGTGGAAAACAACATTGAAGTCAAGGTGCTTCCTTCTGCAGGTGATGCCTTTGAATGTCACGATATATTTTTTCTTACTGTTTCTGATCATAAACTTTTTTTGTGGGAAGTCTAAATGTCTTAATGTGCATATGGTAGGAGTATTTAATATACACTGTCATGATTATGATTTATTGAAAAGGATGCACATTTAGTCATATCATATCTGCTGGTTTGATTTCATATGATAAGTTTTGTTCTTGTGTTGTTTCTGGCTTTCACAAATTTCTCTTATCAATATTTCTGAGTTTTTGTTCGCTTATACATGTAACACATTTGCTTTTCAGGTTTGATATGTAATGTAAAGAACAAAAAATGTATTCGATGTATTTAATAGTCAACAGATATATCTTGATAAGGTGAGGTTAAAATTCTCTGACACATGCATCACCTAACAATTTTTTTTCTGTATCGCATCTTATTATCAATACTACCAATAACAATAAAAGCTGTCTCTCTGTACACTATCAGGCTTCTCAATTAAAGCAGAGAACCCATAAGAACAAATAAAAGCTCAAAATAACAACTCTTACTTTCCCCAAAAAAGATGTCAACAAAGCTCTCAGAACAAGCGTAGAAAACAACTAAGAACCTGTAAATAAAGCATAATATGTCACCACTTTTTCCTCTTTTGAATGAATCGTCACCTAACTACTTGTCGTTGAATCAAGAATGTAAATATTTGATGAAAGTTAATAGTAATTTTGCCAAATGTTAGTGCTCCAAGCTATTACTCGTCCATCAGATTGTTATAATAACTCTGCCACTTATTCGCCTTAAAGGCCATTATGTACTGGCATACCGCATGAAAGGACATTTGAGTTTTTGACTTAGGGATTCAATTCGTTCACGATTCTTTTCCCTCAAAAAGGATCTCTTAATTAACAGCATTTCTTTATTCTAAAAAGTGCACACCTGGTATATAGGCGAGTGGGGCTGTCTATCTTAGTACATCAATTGACTCGGTTTAGTGGTGAATTTTGCATTTCTTCTCATCTTTCACTTGATTTAATAGATTACTTGCAATTAATATTTCAGTCTGAGGTTATGCTGTTAGTAAATATTGGAATTTCGTTGTTAGTAACGTTTGGTCAATCCATCTGATGCCATAGTAGAACATTTTAAATTACAATTCTTATTTTATTTATTGAAATGGATAAGTTTTTTTTCTTCCAAAAGAAAATAAGTAGATGATTTATCTTAAGTCATTGGTTTCCAGAGACTACCTCACTAGCTATTCTTTATTTCTATTTACTTTCTCAGAAAGAATAACATAAAATTTCTAGACTTGTCATTTAAATTTTGTCTATATGTTTTTGTAGGGGATTGTTTTTTCTATTCCTTAATTCTTTGATTTCTAATCTTTCTCACTGTTACTCCAGATGAGCAATTGCAAATAAGTTCTGTGCATGCAACTTCACCTGATGGCATTTTGTCTGGATCCCCAGAACTAGAAGCAGAAATGGCCTTTGAAATGGAGACTTTTCAGGTCCTTTTTCAATATACTTTTTCTTTCTTTTGGTCTACTAGCTGGAATATTATATTTATGCATATCTAAACATTATTTTGCTTTTTGTCAACTTTGTTTAGGCTTCTCAAACATTTTGCTCTGTTACAAAGAAAGTATACTTTTCCATCAATCTGTGTGTGTTCCAAAACTGTCTTTTCAATTTTTGAGGCATTTTCTACTTAATAGAGTGGGACATAAAATTTCTATGGAATTTTAAAAAAATTTGCTCCAATCATTCTTATGTATGGAAGTGGAAGCAATTTATATATTGTCGTCATTGGTCTTATCCAGAAATGGTTTAAAACACATACACTTTTTGTGGTCACATATTCCCCCAGTTTAGTTGGCAGTAGTCTTGCCTAGTTGTAGGAACTGCTTGCATGAGCACATAGAACATTCAAGATTAGGTTAGGAAGCTGCTATAGCTCTGAGAGTGGGTGCCTATTTGGCACATGGTGCTCTTGCTGATGCCCGGACGTATCTGCTCGTAATGTTGCTTGTGAATTAGTCCATTCCCTTTGTGCACAAGTATTTGTGCTCTTTACTACAGATGTTGTTGATAGACTAAATTTAGTTGAATATGAATTTAATTGAATTCTTTGTGATATTTGTTTTGCAGATGTTGTTGATAGACTAAATTTAGTTGAATATGAATTTAATTGAATTCTTTGTGATATTTGTTTTGCTCTTACTGTCTCAGAAGCAGTATATTTCAAAATAGTGAATGGGTTTCGAAAGAACCCATCCTCTCAAAAAAAAGAAAACACAAACAACAAATGGGGAAAGAACAGATATACCACATCTACGCAGCATATCAGGACTTACAGGACAACATTTTCCTTGCTATAGACAACATTTTCCTTGCTATATATGTTATGCGGTTATCTATTTGTTTTGTGTTCAAGCTTGTAAGAGATTTCCTCTAAAACAATAAAACACACACACACAGACATGCACATAGAAAAACTATACTATTTCTGTGTATACTGGTCTCATCATTCTGTTATTAGTGAACTTAGCTTTTCTAAATATGTATTGACTATTGATGATTGCATCTTTTGTTGATTTTTATATATTGTTGGAAGAATACTGGTCTCTTTTAGTTCATGTTATTCTGTTATTACTGAATTTACTAATTTAGCTTTTCTACATATGTATTGACTATTGATGACTGCATCTTTTTGTTGATTTTGATATATTGTAGGCAGAATCTGATATCGAGCAAGATCCAGTTAATTTCAGGAATGAAACTTCTCTACCCATTTTGTGTGTTGAGGATGGGATGGGGTTGTTAAAATCCAACCCGAACCGTTCGATTAAAAAACTCATCCCTATTTCTCAAATCTCCTATTCGATTCGATCCTCAGCTGACTCAAACGAAAGAAAAAAAGAAAAAACTCTAACCCTAACCTTAATCCTCTCTCTCAATCTCTCAACTCACTCCCGTTCGATTCGATCACCTCCGCTGTTCCGACCCGATCCCGCCGACCGACTCCTCCTTCCTCCGACTCCTCAAGTCCACCCTCCATTCCTATTTTATAAAATTTTCTATATATAATAATAATTTTAAAAAAAAATCCTCGTCGTATCCCCGTATCCTATTTTTTTGGATTTTGTCGTATCCCGTATCCGTGTCCGTATCGTATCCGTGTCCCGTATCTGTATCCGTGCATCATAGATCTCATGTCATGAAAATTATAGACCATGATGCCATAGGCCAGATCAATCCTAGTGCTATATCGAGTCTAAATCTATTTCCTAATGATCTGGACATTGGTTCTTTTGAGAGTTCATCAAGAACCACATAACAATGGTTCAGTGCTTCTCAGACCTATTAGCTGTTGCATTATGTTAAAAGTCAATACCTGACCAAGTACGTGCCCTCCTGCCTCACGACCTTGAACTATAATTGCATCCACTCCAGCATGTTTTGCTTTTGCTGCTTCTTCAATACACCCAAGCTGACTCAAGAAAACATATGAATAAACAAAGTGTTAAGCAAAAAGAAATGATAAAGTTGAATGGTGAAATATTATTCAAGAATTTGCTATGTTTTAAAAGGACATTTTATAGGTACTTAACGCATAGAAAACCTAAGATGTTCTCCAATGATGATATTTGGGCAATTAAGAAATTAGCATAGCAGGACAGAATGCGAGATGGATGACTCGCAATATGATACAAAAATATGGGGAAGATTTCAAGCATTTATAGGGGGTTTAAAGTTGCTTCTATTGGGATAAACTGAGGAGACCAGATGAGATGGTTCTGGCATGTGGAACAAAGGCCAACAGATGTGCAAGCTAGAAGTGATACGATCATAGTTGGTGAGGAGAGGCCCAAATAGACATGTATAATGGAAATTAGAAAGGATATGAGAATTATTAGTTTATTGGAGAAAATGACTCCTAAGAAAGTAAAAGGATTGAAGAATATTCACTCACAGCTATTGGTCTACAAAATCAAGCACGCTTCTAGTTGAGAAGGATTGAATAACGATTTCGATTCATGATAGACAGTGCATCTCATATTAAAGAGGACTGCCAACTAGAAGTAAGTTATGACTGCCAACTAGAAGTAAGTTATCATTTAGATCTCATGGGATGAAAAGTATTGACAGTTAAGACTTCCGTGTTTGAAGTAAGTCCATCATACAAAAAGATGGACAAGGAAAGGAATAGATAATATCCCCCAAAAAAAATTCAACACCGCCGTTGCATGGTGATATAGAAATGAGTGTTGCAAAAAGTGCTGCCTTAAAGGCAATGATGACCCATAGTTGTATCCGCTTTAAGAGCAAGGGGATATGTAGATTAAGGAGAAAATAAACAAGCGAGACAGGTGAACCGATCACAACTGTACACGAAAAGAATCTCATAGAAATTTTTTCTTTTAGTGATTGCATACACAATGATGACTTGATCAATAAATGTAGGTTTCTCTAAAAGGAAAGAAATTGGCAAATAATGCAAATAGCATACTCCTGCCATAAACGTGCACCAAAAAATCTTCAATTCTGAAAAATATCACTTACTTGATGAATAACCATAACCCCGCAACCATGAGCTTCAGAAACAAGCTCTCTCGGGTACTGACCCCATGAAACCTGCAATAATGCCACCTTTTCTTCCAATATAATCTTTATATTTTCCTTGTGGGGAAACTTTAGAACTATTCCAACTCCAAATGGCTTGTCTGTTAAGGATTTTGTTTTCTTTATCAACTCCCGCATATAATCAGGGGATTCCTACAAATTTTGACATACATAAATTAATGACGAACATTTAAAGGTAGTCTTAGAGAGATGACTAAATTAATTTAGATTCTAATCTAACTTATTAAAATTAGAGCACACGTTTGAGAATGTAACAAAACCAGATACAATACTAAGGAAATATGCATCGAAGTCACAATTTTCTAGTTGAAATACTGACGGTCTATAAGTTTTGACTGTTCCTTTGAATTAGGTCTAGATACAGTAAAGAACATTGACAGGTAGTCTTATTATGGAATCTATCCACGAAAAAGGAGATTTGAGGCATACATCAGACTGTCAGCATTATCAATCATGAAAATAGAAACTAATACAAAGCTAACTGGGTAAGAGAGAGGGAGGGAGGGCGACTAAGAGAGAGGAATATCACTCTGCATGATGAGTATTACTATACAAGGAACAACCGCTTGTCAATGAAATTCAAAAGTTGCTTTAAACAAATAAGGTTAGTGGTCAATTTTCATGATCCCTATTACTGGGTCCATTAGCGCAAATTAGAATTGATTCATCAATAGACGATATACTTCACTACTACAAAAGCGCCTATTAATAACGGTTAATACAAATTGCCGTTTTTAATAAAGCCTAATGGAAACACACGATCATTTTCCTTCTATTAGAAACGGTTAGCTGAAAAATAAAGGAAAAATAGGCCCATTGGTAAATGAAAATTTTGGGGGGAAGTTAAATTTCATTGTGGCGCCTGGTTAAAAAGGGGTAGGGAAAATTTTGGGGGAAGCTAAATTTCATTTTGGGATCATGGTGAAAGGATCAGAAAACTTTTCCAACGATCCATTCCTTTCTCTATCTTAACTTTATGTAATTTTTCTTTTAATTAACCTAAATTTGATCCCAAACTTTGGATCTCAGTTTCAAGAGGGAGAAAATACTAATCTTTGTTATGAATTGCAGAGCAGATCTCTTCCTCGTCCAGCGAAACGATAATCAACCAGGCATCAGTGACTTCTAAATGCTTGATTGGAGTTCCAGAATGCACCCTAGCCTCCACCGGCACCATAAATACCCTCGATTGCTTCAGGAAAACCTTCATCGTCCTCCTCAATTCGTTCTCTTTACCAAGTAATACCCCCCCACCCCCCAAATTGTTATTTATTTATCAACTTCATCGTCCTCCTCCTTAATTTGTTTCGCAGATTGGAAACGCCATCGACACGGCCGAGCGAGTCGATAGAGAAGCCGAGCGCGGGGGTTGCCCTTTGGTTGATGTTCTCTCCGTGGACACCTTTGCTCCTGTAATTTCTTCGTTCATATTCCTCCCCCTACCTGATAAATTTTAAGGTTTTTTTGCACTTTAATACCCCTAAAGTTTCATCCTTTTCTAACCTTGGCCCTCATCTTGGGCTATGTTGTCACCAACACCTAACAGTATGTAAGATAAAATGTATAAAAAACTAATTTCGTTATCATCACTTCATTTTTACATTTGTAATTAATTTTAAATTGATAGCATTGTTTTTCACTCTCAACTATTTCAGAGGTCATGACAATCTCAAATTCTTTCTTTGTATTGCACATGATGCTAAGGATGGTGGATAAATTCCTTGAAATGGATATACATGTTGTGCACTCCACTTGTTTGATGAAATGCCAATACGTGATTTATTGGCCTAGAATATTGGAGTATCTCCTCAAGTTTAAGTATTGAGAGTTGATACTTTTTTCTATAATTAACACCTTAATTGTTACTAGCATAATCCTTTACTTGATATCATGCGAAAAGACTAAAATTGGTTGTGGAGATTATGAGATTCTCAACAACAAAGTTATCAATTATGTTAACCAAAGGTATGAACTTTTTGGTATCCTTTTCTTACTGTTTCTGATCATAAACTTTTTTGTGGGAAGTCTAAATGTCTTAATGTGCATATGGTAGGAGTATTTAATATACACTGTCATGATTATGATTTATTGAAAAGGATGCACATTTAGTCATATCATATCTGCTGGTTTGATTTCATATGATAAGTTTTGTTCTTGTGTTGTTTCTGGCTTTCACAAATTTCTCTTATCAATATTTCTGAGTTTTTGTTCGCTTATACATGTAACACATTTGCTTTTTAGGTTTGATATGTAATGTAAAGAACAAAAAATATATTCGATGTATTTAATAGTCAATAGATATATCTTAATAAGGTGAGGTTAAAATTCTCTGACACATGCATCACCTAACAATTTTTTTCTGTATCGAATCTTATTATCATTATTACCAATAACAATAAAAGCTGTCTCTATTTACACTATCAGGCTTCTCAATTAAAGCAGAGAACCCATATGTTGTGTCATGAATTCAATTTTTTTAGCTCAGCTACTTGTGTCTCTTGGAATTTTTTGTTGTTTGTAATTTCTAAATAATTTTAGTGACTTATATGGATAACCCCCCAGCAAGAAACTTCCTCAATAATAATACTTAGCTTGTGACCCCTCCCACTACTATTTTACCCTTGACTAGCAGTTCAAGTTCCTTTGCTTTTATTGTTATTTGTTAGTTTTTTAATTCTTTTTTTAAGTTTTTTATTAACATGCAATGTTGTTCACTATCAGAGTACAATCTTTAGGTGTATAACTGTTTGAAGAACCTTGTTACCTTTAGCTTACAGTAAATTTGCATTTAACAGTGAAATATCCACACATTTTTTTTGTGCAAACTAAAAGAATGGTAAGTTATTCTGAGCACCTTGAGTTTAGAATTAATCTTGTTTTGCCTGTACAAATTAATCAAATTTGACATGCAAGCATGTACTTATAGCTAGTTCGGGACTTATCATATAGCATTCTTCAGTCTACCTTTCTCAGTAGTAGAATATTTGGAGATTATCTCTCTCATCAGCAAACACACACAGAACACACAAACACGTTATTCACTTTAACTACTTTAAGTCCCAAGTATTTCATGGATTTAGCCATTTTTTTCTCAGCGTTGCTTGCAGAAATAGTTAGATATCCAAGTATTTGAGATTATCAAGTCAGGCACAGGCTCTGTCATGGCGAGGTTATTATCACTAGTGTTTTGGTTATGTTAAGCGATCTAAAACCTGTCCCGTTTATATCATTGAACTTTAAGAATTCCATTTGTCGTGCATGTCTGCAGCATTGTAGGGGAGCTGGTTGTCATTCCATGTTATATAACTTTCTAATACTAGTTGCGTGAATATCAATAAACAGATATCAAATTAACGGTTTGGTTATCTAACTTATGGAGTACAAACGGTCATCCAGTGAGAGGATTTAGAAACTTAGTCAATAGGATGATTGTGGTAGGTCCAGAAATGACTCAATATTTTCTTCACGAGTCTTTCCAATGATTCACTACTGAGCTTAATCAAGATTGAGAAGCTCCAAATAATGGACAAATTTCAGTCCCAATTTCAGGCTGTCATCATGGTTTTACCTTTTCTGTTGATAACATGCTTTAGGAGCTAAAAGACCCAATCTGCAGTACGCTTCCGAGCTGCTGTGTACTTGGAGTCTTTGTCTTATTCAAACAAGTCGCAACCATCCAAATTCAAAAGTCATTTTTTTGAACCACAACTTTATCTGAATAACGTTATAGTTGAGGCTTAAGTACTAAGTGCATTGGAATAACTTCAGATATTGATGACTTTATCTTGTTTATGCTACAAGGTAAATGACCTGGAAAATTGTTGTCATGCTTCAGTTTGTTGTCAAGATCTTTAAAGAATTAATTGCCTTGTAATGCAGGAACCTCACATGGAAGTATTGTCACCAGGATCAAAAAGCATTCAAACATATCTTCTGAACAGAATGTTAGTATATGTCTACCGAGAGTTTCGTGCCAATGAGAAACCAGATATCCTTCCTCTTATTCGGGCTGATGATTTGGCGTCAAAGTTTCCTGGTCTGACAGATGCTATTGTACGTAAACGATTGAAGCATTGTGCAGACTTAAGGGTAATGTTTAACTCTTGTTTCATGTTTACAGTTCGATTGTTAAATACCATTATTATTCTAAATGCTATGATGATTTCATTTGGGTGCTGCAAAAATCATCTAAATTTCATTATTTTTTTCACAACTATTACATCTTTATATTTTCTGCTACTAATATGCAAAATCTTTATGTGTCCAGAAGGGGAAAAATGGTATGTTAGTTTGGGTTAAAAGACATGATTTTCGTATTCCATTGGAGGATGAATTGCGAAGAATGTTGTCACCAGAGAACGTGAGTCCCTCAACTTATAATTGTTTAATACTCCCATAGTACTCCCCTTGTTATAGTGTTACCAACTTTTACATTGTGATGCCTCCTACTTCTTTAGTATCAATCATCGTTTTGCATTTATTTACCTTGCAATATTTGTAGCAGTGAAGTTTGAGAGCATGTAAGCTTCTCCATTTTGTGCTTATTCTAGGTAAAAGTTTCTAATAATTGTTTCCAAGGGTTCGATGCATTGAACATAGACAAGTTGTTGTAATAATCCTGGAATCAGGAAAGAGTTGTTAATTACTGTAAACATTCAAGCATATAATTGCTACTACTTTCAGTTTTTATGTGAATGCATCTATTATGAGATTCTGAGAGATGCTAATTTTATGGTCTCATTTGGAAATATCTGAGAAAATACAGCAGTCATATATATATCAACTTTCCTGGCTTTTTTCAGCTTGAGAGTAAGTTCTCTATGGTACCTTAGTAAAAAACAAAGAATAGCTTCCTAATCACTTTGCTACAGTCAAACATGTCACTCCATAGATATCTATGATCAAATTAAACATGTTAACTCAAATCTGTATGCATGGTGAAATATTTTTTTTCAAGTGTTTTAATCTGTACGAGTATTTGGTAGAAAATTAAACTCAAAATCTCCCATACGTAAATTTTTTACTAGGTTTGAAACATTCTAGAAAATTAAACTAAACAACTTGCTATTATGGTCCTATGGCCATCCATGTTTTGCCTACTGAACAGTGAACACAGCTAAAAGTCCCAAAACTCTTTGAATGTTTTTAGATACCCAATTATTTAAATCAAAGTTGAATGGAAAGATCTTTATTTCTGTTTTTCTTGTCATTGAATTTGACTGGAAGAATTTGCTTCCAAATCCTTCATGAGGAGCCAAGTCACACTGACATGTGATCAGAAAGTTGTATGCTATTAACAAGCTTAACGCCTTCTGTCTCTCTTGTGTGTATCTTTCTCTCACACCAACACACATGTGATGGGAAAATTATATAATTATTACAAGTTGACTTCTGTTGCTATGCCATAACATCTTTCATACTAATGTCAAAGAAGAGCATATTTTGACACAAGACTGATGGTTTGCTCCAATGACTGGTAAAGTTGAATATTTGCATAAACTAACATTTCGTCTGGAAATAACCATTCTAGCTGGTAAATCAATAATATCGCAGATCTGTTTAGCACTTTGTCTCTGGATTCTTTTTTTTCTTCTTTTTTTTCTTTGCTCAAGTTCTAGTTACAGTTGATTATTTTTTTCATCACCAGGTGTGCTCTTATGAAAGTATGCAAGCTGGCCTATACCGGCTCAAACGCTTAGGAATTAGCAGGCTTACCCATCCTGTTGGCCTTTCTTCTGCAATGAACCAGCTGCCTGATGAAGCTATTGCTCTAGCTGCTGCATCACATATTGAAAGGGAACTGCAGATAACACCATGGAATCTTACCAGCAATTTTGTCGCTTGTACAAACCAGGTATTTAGCTTCCTTCCTTTTATGACTGAAAAAACTTTCAAAGCTTTCTTTAGGTCTAGTTTTTCTCCAGTACTTAAACTGTGTTATTTATCAGGAAATTCTCCATCTTTTGCTCCAGAAAATTAAAAACACTTGAATTTAATAGATTCAATAACATTGTTGAGTTTATAAGTTTCAAATATTTATGTTGTCTTTTTGGACACAACATGTGAATCATAGGGAGCTCGAATGTCTACCCACCAAGGTTGCAAGCCTCAGCAGGTGTAATGACAATTTAAAAAAATTCAGATGAGATATAATAGTAAATTTTAATAAAATAGTCCTTGGATAAAGAAAGAAAACATAATGATATACCTTACCATATCTGCTGCATTTTTATTCATTTATCATGTAATGTACCATATGGTATATGTTATTGGTTTGCAATTAACATCACCCATCAACACATTGCATGCTTATAAAGTAAAATAGTTTCTGAACTATAGCCAACTCTCCCCTCCCTCTGTCATCGAGAGATAAAGGAAATATCTCCGTCCCTTCAAACTTTATAAAAAAATTCGACAGACATAAATCAAAAGTTAAACATATAAGAAAATAATCTATACATGATAACAAACTGTAACAATTTTAGGGCACAGCTGAAAATAATTGCTTATTGATTTAATTGGTTTATTTGAGAAATGACAACATATCCCGATGAAGACAAAGAAGAGGTTGAATTATCTAGCTTGTGACCTTCACTTTTGTTGTGACTGTTATGGAGAGAAACTGATTTGTGGCTTTGGCATTTTCAACGAAAAATTGTGTTAGAAACTGATTTGTGACTTTGGCATTTTCAACGAAAAATTGTGTTGAATGTAAACACCACATAGGTGGTGATGCTCCAAGAACTACTTGCTGAGATTATTATTATCAAACATGGGGCTAGTTGATATTGTTTGGAATTAAGTGCTGCATAATGCTGATTAATGCATGGAACAAAGTGCAGCACAATGCAGGGATCTGCTGTAGGCCACCTCCTGAATCCATGGCAAAGACTTTTAAAATAAGTTGGGGCAAACTTCACCCACATCACCTAGTAGAATGATCAATAACGAGGATGAAAAATCCCAAATAAGGCTATACTTAAGCGGTGCTCAAGAATATTACTATGATTATGGTATCTGAGAGGTCCTCCCTTGGGGAGGTACATTATGTCTCTATGAGATGTTTATGCTAACAGTATAAAGATATAGATTTAACATTCCTTGAGGGGGGAACAATGTTTGTGGGACTGCTCAGCTAGCGACCCATACCCTCAAGTAAAGGAGAAAGTTGTTGGAATGTTATATGTTAGATTGAAGGTGAAGATTAGGCATAGGAAAGTAACATTGCAAAGGAGAATTTGGTTTGGAAATTGGATGGGAGGGAATAAGAACTCAAAAAAAGCAATATTCAATGGTAATCATGTGCATTCGCCCGATTCGTAAAATAGAGGTAATGATGGATTTTCTTGGACCAATCACATGATATTTGGAGTTAGGATTTAACAGTGGAAGAGAGTGCGCAAAGGGATATCTAGAGCTCATGTAAGACTATAGCCACTAATATTTTCTTGCATATTGAATTGGCAAAGGTTAATTGTTCAAGAGCTTATAAACTTGTCTTATGTCCTAGAGTTATGCTAGCCCATAACTGTTAAAATGTTAATTTCTTAGTCTGTTTGCGGAATCTAGATCTCAAAATTTGAACTAGAGAACAAGTTCATACTTGCTAGAAAATGAAGATTCGATGTGGTTCAAGTTGGTGTCTACTTTGGTAAATTGTGAAGTTTTTGTTTAGCATCCTGCTTTTGTGGAGGTATTATCCGACGTCATATTTAACGATTTTTCAACTTAAAGTAACTAAGAAGATGTCAGTCAGCCATATACTTTGGGAGATTTAGAAAGTGACCATAGATTCTTAAGTTAGTCAGACCTATGCTACTGAGGCCTACTTCCTCTGTGGTTAAAGGGTAGGTGGGGTTCTTGGAACTCCTGGATTCAAGTTTACGCATGTTGTTTGTTCAAAAAGAAAATTTCAATCAGCACTAAAAATTGCGGTTAATAGCCATGATCACAAGATCACTTGCTCGGCACATGTTGGCTCCTACGTGGCTATAACGTGTTAATTTTCTAGGCTGTCGGAGAACTTGTATCACAAAAAACATTAATTGGGCCTAAGGTAGGTCATCTTCTAGTAACTATTGTGGTATCTGGTGCCATGCAAGCTGTCCCAGTTTGGTGAGTACGGAGATTTTCCTTGAAATGCTGCTATTGTGGTAAATTTTGACCATCATTTTTTTGGGTTGAGAAATAAGGATGGGATTTCAAAGAGAAACACCTGCCATCCTATTACCATTAAGCAGATGGTTGATTGCAAGTAAATGTCTATACTCCCAATGGTAAGAGTATAGACAATATCTGACTTTTGGCCATCATATATACGCTTCCCAATTTCTATAGCAACTGGCCTATACACCTATGTTGTTAAGTTGTTGATAGCATATATGAGTTGTATAATATAGTCATGAAAAATCCTAATCACAAGGACTAGTTATGCTTTATGTTGTCTTCTGACTAGAAGTATGGATTTCACATGTTATACAAATTGATTTTGTGTATTTGAATGTTCACTGATTTCCTAATCATTGCGTTACTGCCTATATACTTGTGTTTCTAAAATGATTGAGATACTAAATTTGTTAGTTTTAAATGTAGGATAAGGAGAATATTGAGCGATTGGAAATTACAGGTGTTGGTGATCCTTCTGGTCGTGGATTAGGATTTAGCTATGTTCGTGCGATTCCAAAGGCTCCCATTTCAAACACAACAATGAAGAAAAAGGCAGCTTCTGCAAAAGTAGGTTCAACAGTCACTGGCACAGATGCTGATCTGAGAAGATTGAGTATGGATGCTGCACGTGAGGTATAGTTCAATTCTTGATATACTAAATCTTAATGCTTGATGTGCCATCTTCATAATTTTACTGATGTGATCATTAGCATTTTTCTTCTTGCAAGTATTATTATCTTGACTATGTAAAGATTGTTTAAGTAATTTATGGATTAATATTTTTGAGATATTATTCCCTTAATTTATAATATTTCGGCATTAGTACTTCAAATCTTTGAAATTGTCTCCTCCAAATCCTGTAGGTGATTAGTCCTGTCAATATCCATGTCCAATTTTAACTAACCATAGTTGGGTTAGCATTCAACCCATGGTAGTGCATAACTTTTTAATCTGCAGACCACCAAACCCATCCCTAAAACCTCTCTATCAATCCATTTTGTAAGTATAAAAAGGGAAACTTGGGTTGGAGTTTTTGGTTTGGGTACAAATATGACTAAAAGAATCAAGGTTTTAAATGTCGGATGTCGGGTTCATGTCGGACGGTTGAAATACATGTCAGATAGCGAAAATCAGGATATATCGGGGGACATGGACTAAATATCGGATTGCCATATCGGGTGGTGCACATATGTATAATATCATGTCCTAAATGTAATCTAAGCATTCCTAAATTCAATATAAGCATACTTTATAAATTCTAGAGGCGACGCCGATGATGGGTGGATTCCGACGTCGTAGGGAGGCAGTACCGAGGCTCTTCTTCTTCTTCGTCTGCTCGAGGTCTTTCGGATGAGTCACCGACCACCCTCTTCCCTTTATCCTGACGACGGGGTACCTTGTCGCCCTCGGGTTCAGTTGGGGTTCGGATTTCGGGGTGCAACGGGAGATAGACGACGGGGGGCCAAGATGGAGGTGGGGAAGGGCGTCGTTGTTCACGAAAGGAGTGATGTGTTCCCAAGTTCACTGCAGCCCTAATTTTTCTCTTTTCTTTCTATCGGGTTCATAAGAAACCCTTAAACATGAGAACAGGTCAAACGAGTTTAGGTTTTTATCACTAAACCCAAATCCGATAACAAAAAACAGATCTAAAAAAATGGTCATATCAGCCGATTTTTCAAAGTTGAAAATCGGCCAATATGCCCGATATGGCCCCGATATTTCCGATTTGACCCTAAAAACCGACATACGAGTTGAAAACGCCTGCTCAAGCCCTCAAACCGACATGTCGGCCGACATTTAAAACCTTGAGAAGAATAGATCGTGTTTTTATGGTTTTGGGTTTGGTTTGGTATGGGTTTAAGTGTGGGTTTGGATGGTTAAGTTGATTTATAAGGGTATAACAGGAAGTTCAACTTACAAATGTTAAACTTAATGCCTATGTTGCCCATGGTGCAAATGACAGCTTGTAAGAGGTCTAACTTTTGTGTGATGATACTATTTGGGAGATTAAATAGCAATTTAGATTTGAGGGACTAATACCGAAACATTAAAGATTTAATAATCTGTAATTGACTGACATCTAAAGAACTATTTTATTTAGTATTTCCTTCTGTCAAGACTTAACGGGTGGTAGAGGTTATGAAACACTAACTTATCTGTTAAATGATCAATTTGGATTAGTTTCTAACATGTAGCTTGGTGCAAGACCTGGTTATGCAAAATTACGCAAGAGAAATGAACTTAGTTGGAGCAGAAGTTCAACAAGTTCTCTCACTCTTTATGAAAATTTTCTTTTAGTCAAACCACTCTTATAGGAGGATGATTGAGAGGGCTAATTATAATAAAGGTAATTGTCATTGATTGAGCTATGCTTGATAAAAGCTGACTTTGATAAATGCATCCTCTTTATGTATGAACTATGTTAGAATAGAAACCTATAAACCTGAACTCTCACCATAACTTTGGAGTTTTGGTGTAATGGTTTGAGGGATTTAATTTAAGATGGTATCAGAACAATCCAGGTTCGAATCTTGTTGACCACAAATTTAATGCGGATTTAAAAAAAAAATTGTTAGTGCTAGATGAGTTTAGGTTTCAGCCCATAAAAAAAGGGTGCTAAAAAAGGGGGGCATGTTAGAATATAAAATTATAATCCTCAATTATCATAACTTTGGAGTTTTGATGTAATAGCAAGAGGGACTTTCACAAACTAAAGCTTTCATTTTTGTACAGATTTAATCCTTTGAGTGGTTTACTAATAGATTTACTAACAGATTTATCTGTAGAATATAATTGCAGCATTTGCTTTACTAATAGATTTATCTGTAGAATATAATTGCAGCATTTGCTATACTAAATTACTAATAGATATACCTTTAGAATATAATTCCAGCATTTGCTATACCAATAGATGTATCTTTAGAATATAATTGCAGCATTTGCTTAATATTTCAGATAGCACGCTAGTAATTTATTCTTAATAATGACTGCTTTGCATACATTTATACATTTATGTTAGCATTTCCTTTCATTTCAATGGCTTATATTACTCATAGAATGTTTTCTTTCTAGGTTCTTGTAAAGTTCAACGTTCCTGAAGAACAAATTGACAAGTTAACTAGGTGGCATCGGATTGCACTGGTGCGCAAGCTTTCGAGTGAGCAGGCTGCCTCAGGAGTAAAAGTAGATGCAATGACTCTTAGTAAATTTGCACGTGGGCAGAGGATGTCGTTTCTTCAGCTTCAGCAGCAGACAAGAGAAAAATGTCAGGAAATATGGGATCGACAAGTTCAAAGCCTTTCTGCTGCTGATGGTGATGAAATAGATAGTGAGTCAGAAGCAAATAGCGATTTGGATTCATTTGCTGGGGATCTTGAAAACTTGCTGGATGCAGAAGAATTTGAGGAAGAAGAGGATGACAATGTCGACTCAAAAAGTGATAAAGCAGAGGTTGTGAGAGGACTGAAGATGAGAAGGGTCCCCTCTCAAGCTCAAAAGGAAGAGGAGATTGAAGATGATGAAGCGGAAGCAGCTGCATTGCGTCGTTTGCTCGATGGTAAGGAAGTAGGGAACAATATAAAATTGATGGGTGTCGAATCATTATTTATCTTCAATCCATTAATGGGCAGTGTGGGTTTTTTTTTCATTTATTATTATTATTACCACTTTTTACTCTTTACTCCATGTTAGATAATTTTAACTAGTAATTATGTTCATTTCGTCCTTACTTTTTTTTACAGTTTCTGTGGTACATCATTGCGGAGCTTAAATTGCAGAACCATTTGGTAGGGTTTTCGTCCATTAAGTTCCTAGGTGGCTAGCGACACTTTTTGACAAGCCTCCCTCCATAATAATTTCTTTATTCAGGCACTTGGTACGGTGTAACTTCAATAGAACTTTGCTAATGTATTACATTCATAGAGAAGAGTTTAAGATGATAATGATGACAGTTTATAGAAAAGTACCATCAGCAAACCTTCTTGATAATCAAGCTATTGAATCAAACTGAGATGCTTACGAAAATAGGAACTGCGTAAATATTATACATAGATGTCAGTGAAATGCATACTTGTGCCATGCTATTGACGTGAAATAATTTTTAGCATTTATGTATGTTTATATGTTGCTTGGTGATTGTTTTATATTTTCAGATTTCTCTCTATTATTTCGGAATATGTCACCAGAATACAGATTGAGTATGCAGTGTGTCATATATTATTAATGTATTACTCAATGTGATCTATATGCGGTCTATTTATGTGATATACTAAATCTGATCCAGAACGGCGCTTGTTTTATATTTTCTGATTTCTCCCTATTATTTTGGCATACGTCACCAAAATATAAATTGAGTATGTGGTGTATCATACATTATTAATGTATTACTAAATATGATCTATAGACATTCTGTTTATGTGATATACTAAATGAATATGGCACATCACTGCATATGGTCAGATCCTCATTTACTGTTTGGACACTTGACAGAACCATATTTGAATCCAATTGTTTATCACAATTGCTATTGGTCTTAACGTAAATTTTCAGATGATGAAGCTGAGATAAAGAAGAAGAAGAAGAAGAAATCCACTTGTAACCAATTTGGTCATAAAATTCAACTGGGCTCTGATACAGTTGATTATTCCAAGAAAACAAATCTTGCTGTTAGGCATAATCTTAGAATGTCTCATTCGGATGGATCATTTGCTTTGAAAGAGAAGGTGATGCACGAAACCAAGGAGGTAACATCATCTCACTTGTTGCAATCAGTCTGATAGCTTCTATTGCTCTCTAAATAATATTGTATGCGATTTGTTTGTTACACTGGTTAAATTAGCGATTCTAAACTAGACGTCTTTATAGATGAAGTTAATTAGTTATACTGACTACCGTTTTACTGCAGGAAGAGAAATTTCTTGTTGAAAAGGGTTTACCAGGAAAAGTTAAAACTAAAAAGGTAAATGAAATCAGAAGTTTTCCTTAGAAAATCAGAAGTTTTCCTTAGAAAATCAGAAGTTCTCCTTGGGAAAAAAACAACTAAAGAAAATTGTGATATGTAGCGTTGTCAGCTCTTTAGCCTCAAAAAATATTGCTGGCTTCGCACTTTCATCTAATTAATTCATTTTCTTGATTGAACAGTGTGTTGACATTTTCTATAATCTGCTCGTAGTGATTAAAAGTAGTATCTAGTGTACGTTCTTCCTGATTTTCTTTTTTCTAATGATTATATTGTCAAGGAAAAGAAGCCGGTGGATAGAAGAGAGAGTTTCGTATGTGGAGCTTGTGGTCAGGTTTGTAATACACAAACTGTGTATTTTGTTCTTGATATGGAATGACTCCCTTTGTAATGTTCAAAACTTTTTTGATGGAGCAGCATGGACACATGCGAACGAATAAGAACTGCCCAAAATATGGGGAAGATGTAGAAACTTCAGAATTAGAGACTGTCCCAGCCAAATTGTACCAGCCTGATTTAGGAAGCCAACAACTGAAACCTCCGAGTAAAAAGTTGATACCCAAAATTTCTGTAAAAGTAGCCGAGGCAGAGGTTTCAGAAAGTGGTGAAACGCCTGGTTTAAAATCAGGTTCAAAGGTTATCCCACTTAAGTTCAAATGTGGCTCCTCTGACAAGGCTTCTGAGAAAAATCTGGCAAGCACTTATCCTTTTGATAAGCAGACTGCTGTAAGTGCAGAGGCAGAATCTAAACCAATTAAGATCAGTAAGCTTAAAATTTCTAATAAGATGAAACCGGAGGATGTTCAGTATGAAATATCAAAGCCTTCAGTTGTAATACGGCCTCCGGTTGATGCGGAGAAAGATCAACCTTCCAAAAAAATCGTTATAAAACAGCCAAAAAGTGTCAGTTATGTAAGCCAAGCTGATCCACTTGATGTTGGAATGGGATACGAGTTCAGAAAGACAAAGAAAATCACAGAACTATCAAGCTCTGAGAAGGTGAGTCAGGAGAGCAATTGGTTCAATGAGGCAGATAGTAGGAGAAAAGCTGTATACGAGAGGAGGTTTTGGGATGAGGAAGAGAGAAGAAGTGGTAAACAGAGAGTTGTGGAAGAGAGAACATGGAGAATGCCCGAGGAAAATCTGCTAGAGCAGCAGAGATTAGATGGGACTAGTAGCTATGAAGAACCAATTTGGTGGGAGGAAAAGAAATCTAAAAAGAAGAAAAAGAAAAAGAACAGACCTGATTTCAGAGATGAGTATTTGTTAGAGCGTAAGCCATATAGAAGTGACCGTAGGATTCCTGAAAGGGATCGTGTTTCCAAGAGGCGGCCTATCATTGATCCTAGTCACTTAGAATATGCACCTCCATTAAAGCGACGCAGAGGAGCAGAGGTAATGCTCTTAAAGTCCTTTAGAACTGATTGTCAAACTCTTGTCATGCAATTGTGGTTTGCCGTCGTTCTAAATCCTCACTTCTTTTACCCTGCAAATTATATGTCTTTTCAGGAATCATCTAAGTTATTTGTTGTATCATATGACATTCATCTCAATAACTTCTGTGTGTGTTTCTTTAAGATAGCTGCATTAGTTTCATGCATGCTACATTTTGTTGGTTATATTTTCGTGCATCCACATAAATGATTTCATGATAAATTAAGTAGGATACACTTGAACTTTTTTTTTTTTTGACCATCCATAATATGAAAACACTCATAGAATGATCCAGGTGTTGTACACGTTATTTCAACTTAAAGTTGAAATTGAATAATGAAGTTGTTGACTTACCATCATTAACTTAAAGCTGGACCAAGCTAACCAAATTTCGAATGGAAGCGGTTACCCTGTATATAGGTAACTCTGGTTGTCTTTTGGGATGAAAAGTGAAATTTCGTTTTCCACTTTAATATCAAAAAGAGCGTGCTTCTGATTGTACATAAGAAAAATAATTTTCCAATGTTTGTTCTTTCTTTAACCAACATAAAAGGCCATAAACTTATAGAAAGACTGGATATATGAGTGGCATTGGGCATATAGTTTAACCGACATATAAGGCCATAAACTGATAGAATGGATATTTTAGTGGTGTTGGACATGTAGTTTGCAGGAGTTTGACCGTATGTTTGTTGAAATAGAACTTGTAGGAACTGGTGCTTATGAAGTATTATAGAACACTTTAACTTTCAAGTTTTTATCTTTATATATTACTTCTTCGAAATCATAGACAAAGGAGTGATTCTTGTCTTCATCCATTTAAAATTCGTTTTGTGAGTTAGGTGTTCTCTGATGTAAAATGCCAGTTTATTTCATGAAATCTCCGAGTCCAAACTTGACTTCCTGAAATTTTCACTTCAAATTTGAACATGATAAACACATATATGATTGCATGATGTAAACTTGACTTCCTGAAATTTTCACTTCAATTTTGAACATGATAAACACATATATGATTGCATGATGTAAACTTGACTTCCTGAAATTTTCACTTAAAATTTGAACATCATAAACACATGTATGATTTGCATGATGTAGTTGATAAACCAATATCTTTCACAGGTTGTATTGTCCAATATATTAGAAACCATAGTGGATAGTTTAAGGGAGAACATCGAAATATCATATCTATTCCTGAAGCCTGTGACAAAGAAAGAAGCCCCAGATTATCTCGACATCATCAAGCATCCAATGGATCTTTCCACCATCAGAGACAAGGTGAGGAGTATGGAATATAGGAGTCGAGAAGAGTTCAGGCACGATGTGTGGCAAATCACTGTAAATGCTCACATTTATAATGATGGTCGTAATCCTGGAATTCCTCCGCTTGCTGATCAACTCTTGGAGCTCTGTGACTATCATTTGCAGGAGAAAGATTATATTTTGACTGAAGCTGAATCGGGAATTGACAGAGATACGTAGATATTTGACATAAGCATTTTTTTTTGGTTAGTTTTTCTGTATGGCACAAATTTTTGATTATATGCCATCATTTGTTGTATAGTAGCAGCGCTGTCTTGTAATATATTCATGTTTCTGATCTATCTATATTGTCCAATTTCTTTCCCTTTGGTTTTTCTTTTGTACAACAGGCTATTTGCAAACATTTGTTAATGTACCCCTTGCGCCTCCTGAGGCCTGATTATTGATTGAAGCGGGGAATTAACAAAAATGCTTTTGATGGGTGGTAAATGTTTGTGGCTTTGATTTGGTCAAACCTTTTTTGTTTCTTTTTTTATTTTATTTTATTTTATTTTTGTCAACATCCGCTTGTTCTTTTCCCAATATTGCAAAAGCCCTGGGATCACCTCTCTTTCTACATGCCCTCGCCTGCCAAGCTCCTTGAACCCAACACACAGACAGCCTCCTTTCTTTGTCCAGGTTTCACAGCTCAACCGGCTTTATATTTTATGAAGATTATAAGCTCCAACTGTAGAACACGCTTTTTGCTTTGCCATAGGTATAGAATTTTCTATTAAATCTGGCCTATCTCTCTATGTAATTATAATTCTTAATCATGCTAGTAATTTATCATGATAAAATATAAAATGTAAAGAAAGTACGCAAATTACTAGGGATAAAGAAAAACAATAACAGATTCTAAAACAAGAGGAGAAATTCCTTAAAATTTTTGACAAGCATCACCAATAAACCAACACACAACATTACTAAAGAAAAACAACGGTGAAGACAAAAAAAAAAAAATCATGCCCGTTGAGGAGATTAAACTGCTATGAAAATTTCTAAGAAAATTGTTTAGTTTCTTGCTTTATACACAAGGCATATGTAGCACGCGAGGGGGTAACAATTGCTAATAGAATCTTCTTTAGATAAAAAATTACAAACTGTGGAATATCTTGGCTGATAATATGCGGGATTAGGATTTTTTTTTTTTAAAAGGGTTCGAAGCTGTTCACCTTGTGCACCTTGGCTGATGGTAAAAGCACGTAGGTTGAAATTCGCCGCAAGTGGCGGCCGAGGAGCGGAGGCAGAGGTGAGGCCGGAGGAGAGTATGGAGCGGTTATGGGGATGGAGGCGCCGGAGGAGGAGGAGGAGGCTATGAAGCAGCAGTTATTGCATGATAATATTTACAATTCATAGAATCTCTGCATTATTTTTGTACAAAATATGTTAAAATTATTTCATTCTTGTCGTATATAGATATGTTAGTTACAATCATTTAAAATAGTCTTAGTTTTTCACAAGACTAGTTTTTACACACGTGCAATGCACGTGATTTAATACCATGATTAAGTATTTTTGGCAGTTTGTGCTCATTTTTTTCTTTAAACTCTTACATCCCGATTATTTTTTTATGTTTGTTTAAATGGGATACACCCAATTTAAATTTTCATGTTGATATTTGAATTGACAAAAAACAAATATAATTTAAAAATAATTTGAATTTTCATATTATTTTTGACCGATATGAAACTAAGCTTTATTTGAGAAAGTATAGCATTGCAAAGTAAAAAATATTAAAATAGTGTTATACAAGGAATGTGAATATTTAAAACAAATATGACAAAATGATTGATTTAAAGTATGTTAAAACGATGCAAAAGAGAATATGAAGTTTATTCCTAATCATTGATAGACTTCATATAAAAATATAAATTAAAGATTAATGCTAACTCTAGTATACTTTTATATGATAAAAACATCCACATAAGAATATAAAAGTACTGAAAAAAATTCATGAAACTCCCTTCTAAAGATTCCTAATTTCACTCAAAATAATTAAACTATTCTATAAAATATTCATAAAATATTGTTTTTATTTCTTCTATTTTATTTTTTATTGAGTTAAGATCAATCCTTCTTTAGGTTTATCATTTATCATTTCTCGGACAATTCTAGAGTATTGTCTTCATCATCTACATCAATTGTGACATCATGCTAATTTTGTATTTTTTATGCTATTATCTTTCCTAGGCTCGTTAATTTTTTATCATCTCATTTAACTTTACAAAGAAGTCAAATGTACTTATGATGTTCAACACAAACTGCTCAAAATATAGACTTTGATTTTTTTTCTATTTCAATGAGAATAAATATTAATTTCATATATATAAAATTCTTTGTGTTCCTAATTTATTACTTAAATAAATTAGAAGCTATCTCTTTATTTTCCTCTAAAATGAATTCTTCTGATGTGCATCCAATAAGAATTTCTGTTATTTCAATAATATTACCTTTGCTCTATCCCTGTCATTTTCCATAAAGATCTAAACTAAATACCTGCATTATTCATTACCAATTTCTCTTAGATTATAATATTAATATTTAATTTGAAGAACACAGTATGGAATTTATGAATACTTACTAATTTTTCTTATGTCTTCCATGGAGATTTTTTCTTTGATTAGGATAAAGTTATTAAATTATTTTTTAATGTAACTCATTCAGTGCTTCATTAATAGATATGTCTTATGTTAATGCCAATTCAAGTGATTCATTGACGTTTTCTGAATTTTAGATTTATTTCCATCACTTTCCCATTTGCAATGGAAATAACTCAATTCTTTTAAAGTTATCTCTAAATATTCTAATAGTTTCTCCATATGTAATTCCTTGTATTCTTTTACCCTATAAATATTATTAACGTCAAAGATTAAAGTTTCTAAATTAAAATCAATTAATGCTAAGGTATAATATTATAGTGTTTTATCATTTCTATGGATTTAAACATCTATCAATTAATGTTACGAATGTATTTTGGCTACCCCAACTTATTACTAAAATTATATGAAATTACTTTAATTTATATAGTGCCGATAATTTTTAATCTATAATATTTTTAAAAATTTTATCCATTAACCGGATGTTTTTAATCAATTCTTATTGTTTTTGTTTACCAGTATCAACTTAGACTATTCTTAGATGCTGAAAATGGATAGTAAATCCCTAAATTAGAAATTTTAATATATATATATATATATATATATATATATATAATTCTAAAATTTTAAAACTTACAAACAACACAAATGAATTCAAGAGATTACCATGAGACACCTAAAATTTTTGACATTTTAAAACTTAAAATAACAAATATAAAATTAAAAAAAATAATAGCAGCCTCTGAAGAATTTAACTTTTTTAATTAACACCCTCAATATCTCAAAAATTATAGAAACACCTTCAAAAGTTCAAATTATAAAAAGCCACCTTAAAATTCTAAAATTTGTAAATAAAATAAGATGAATTCAAGATATTACCCTTAGACACCTAAAAAATTAAAATTTACCAAAATTAACCTCAAAATTTTTTAAAAACTCCTTCAAAATTTAAAAATTGTAGAAAAAACTCTAAATTTTCAAAATTTTTAACTAGCACACATCAAATTCGTCGATTGGTAGACCGCTAAAATTTAATATTTTTCAAAATTAATCTATAGTTTTAATAATTATAAAAGACACCCTCAAAATTTTAGAGTTACAAGAAATATACTAACATTTAAAAAATTACCACCAACACATGAAACATAGAATTTACAACTACCAAATTTAAAAGTAATTTTTTTTTAAAAACTCTTTCAAATTTTTAAAAATTATAAATCACACCCTCAAAGTTCAAAACCACAAAAATGGGCTAAAATTTTAAAACTTGGCAAAGAAAAGTGTAATATTAATCTCATATATATATATATATATATATATATATATATATAAAATACCAAACAATTATACTTTTCTTTGCCAAGTTTTAAAATTTTAGCCCATTTTTGTGGTTTTGAACTTTGAAGGTGTGATTTATAATTTTTAAAATTTTGAAAGAGTTTTTAAAAAAATTTACTTTTAAGTTTGGTAGTTGTAAATTCTATGTTTCATGTGTTGGTGGTAATTTTTTAAATGTTAGTATATTTCTTGTAACTCTAAAATTTTGAGGGTGTCTTTTGTAATTATTAAAACTATATATTAATTTTGAAAAATATTAAATTTCAGCGGTCTACCAATCGACGAATTTGATATGTGCTAGTTAAAAATTTTGAAAATTTAGAGTTTTTTTTTACGATTTTTAAATTTTGAAGGAGTTTTTTAAAAATTTTGAGGTTAATTTTATTTACAAATTTTAGAATTTTAGGGTGCCTTTTTATAATTTGAACTTTTGAAGGTGTTTCTATAATTTTTGAGATATTGAGGGTGTTAATTAAAAATTAAAAATTTTAAATTTAAATGTTAAAAATTTTAGGTATATCATGGTAATCTCTTGAATTCATCTGTGTTGTTTGTAAGTTTTAAAATTTTAGAATTTTAATGTGCTTGTTTGTAATTTAAACTTTTGAGGGTGTTTCTATAATTTTTGAGATATTGAGGTGTTAAATGTAAATTTTAAATTCTTTGTAAACTGATGATAATTTTTTAATTTCATGTTTTTTATTTTAAGTTTTGAGACATTTGGATGAGTTTTATAATTTTGAACTTTTCATGGTCTTTTCTGCAATTTTAAAACTTTTTATGGTTTTTTTACAATACTTCATGTATTATAATATGTTATCTACTTGTAATTTCTTTATCTTAACAAACTAATATCATTTTTATGTTTTATATATTTTATTAATATTTTAGTTTTTTTAAATTGTTAAGCTAAACATGGTTCACATAGGATTAGGATAAGATATGATTATGATTAGAATAAATTAAGATATAAATAAAATATTCAAAATAGTGAAGGGTAATATTGACCATTGAAAATTAGAATTTGTTTATAGATAAGGTAGTTCAAACTATAAATGGGTATATTTGTCTAAAAAAAATTTCCGAACTTGTGCTTTTAATGGGAGTATGATTTGTAAGAGTAAGGGTTATGTGAGTACCCATATAAGTCATAACTTAATTATGCACGGCGATCCTGACAATGTAGGTAGATCAACATTTTTCACAGAAGCAAGTTACGAAAGAAAATAATTAGATTTTTATTTATTTATTTAAGAAAGAAACGGGAGCATTTACAAGAAGTTGGAAAAATACATGTTGGGGGTAAATTACACTAAACCCGCAAGAACATTTAATATTTTGCAATGAACCCCCAATAACTTCTAAAATAGCACTAAACCCCCAATTGTAAAAAAGAAACTTCAATATGTTTTTTGCATTCTGCCAATAACTTAAAGGAGTTATTTCGCCGTTGCAATGCTTATTACTATTCTTTTTTTCTTTTTTACTAATCAACTACAATTTTTTTTCCCCATTCACAAGTTCTATGCCTGCACTTACACGGATTGTGTATATGCATTTATATCTAATTTTGGTTTCAGTTCTAAATTGAACTTCGTTGAAATCCCTTCCTTCGGGTTTTTGCTTCATTTTGTTTCTTGTGTATAATTCTAAATTGCATTATACTAAATGAAACTATAGTTGTTTTGTGTTTTGTGCTTTGTGTTTTATGCAAGTGGCTTATAATATATAATAACTTGAATGCATGCACGAAGATGAGAGGAATTTCTAATTTCATTCAATAACGCTCTGAGCATAACATGTAAGTTGAAAACTTAGATGCACAAAAAGAAATTTGTCAGCTTGGGGGTTGCCTATAAGATGGCAAGAGTAGTTGAAGAATGTAGTTATTAGAAAATTTTGAGGGCTTACGTGCAAACCCCCTTAAAATTCAGGGGTGTTTGTGGAATTAAAATATTTTGGAGGTTTATCCTTAAAATTCAGGGCTATTGATTTGCACATGAACTACAAATCTCTTTAAACGTCCACCGTGACAGGCATCCTAATCGATTCTTTAGTTTTACTCTTAGGGGCTGTTTGGTTCGCTATTATAAGGGGTGGAAAACTCAGAAAACCCATCTACGTCAGATTTTTAGCCCTCCACGTCAGCTTTTTTGTTTTCGTTCATTTCTTTGTGCCGCTTTGGTTCGCTCGAATGGAAGAGGGAAAACTCTGCTGAAATCGCCGCCAACTAAGATTTTTTTCCGTCTCCGATTTTCTTCCCCAACCAAGTGAAATTGATGAAAACTCTGCCACGTCAGATTTTTTTCCTTCTCTGCTTTGTTTACAAAAGTTTTCTTTTTTTTCTATGCGAACCAAACACAAGAAAAATAAATACATTGGTTTCCCACCATTTTTTATGTGCGAACCAAAACAAAACAATCTATTTCTTGAAAAAATTTGGAAAACTCAAAACTTGTGTTTCTTTATATGAAATTACATTTCTCTATATCAAGGAAACGAACCAAACAGCCCCTTAATAAAAGGATAATATACCACTTCAACTTTGAAGTTATATAGCTATCAAAAATAAATGAAACTTCACAATATTTCAATAACTAAGAACCTTGTTTGTTGTTCGGACCTGTGAAACTATCAATCACTTCAAGTTAAAACCCTATCTCAAAACGACCAATAGAATTTAGGATTGTAATTTCAAGTCGATTATCATCAAATATTAAATTTTTGGGGTCATATAAAAAAGTAAAAAAGTTTTTAAGTATCAACAGTCGATTGCACAATCATCTCTCCATGTGTAATGATAAAACTTAGTTTGCATGAAGAGTTTCAACAAGGATCAACAGACAAACAGAACTGCCAATTTTCCATCGAATAGGGTCCTCTGTGACGCAGTGTGAGCTACAATGAAAGCTATACAATCAAGTACAAATCTTACCAATATGCTATAATTCAGAATCAAGAAGAACATCTTCTTTGTCAGTTTTTTTTTTTATTTCCGCCTTTCAATCAGTCTTCCTTCTTCCTCGCTACATAAGGATATTTCTGGTAAATGGAAATGCTGCTGATAACCAGAGGCAATGCAGCAACACAGTACAAAGATGGCGGCTTGCCATCGAAGACAAACTGAAGCAAGGCTGTTACTAGTAGTGCAGATACGATGACGAAACCCTGTAATTTTAGTTTTACAACGAATCGTGACGAGAATTAGTACATACATGAGAAAACTAAATAGCTTATGGGATTATATCTAGTTGAATTCTTGTACTTGCCTTTCTAACGCCTCCGGCATGTGCTGTGACAAGGCCAACGAGGATCCCACCAACCGCATTGGATACAACTGGAATCTGAAAAGAGTATTACAGAGATAAGATAATCAGCGGCTTTCTTTTATATAAAAAAAATAAAGGAATGAGGATATATAGAGGAGCTCATCAAAAGTATCAAGAAATGTTGCAAAGCCTCCCGCAAACATATAGTGAGGAATTTTCTCATTCAAAATAAAGGATAAGGTGGACAGAAGCCATAATCAAATAAGAAAATAATAATAATAGAAAATTTCACCTTATGCCATAACATTTCATATTCATATTGGTATATGAGTGTTCATTTGCAGAATATGGATTGAATTCATGTTATCAGAGAGCTACTATGATTATGGCTCTTGATTGTCGCAAAAATGCCAAGTGAGCAGCTGTGTGAGAGTAAACAGCAGTTTAATACTAAATTTCCATGTAAATAAAAAAAATTGCTCTTAGTATATCGCAAATTAATCTACATTACAATTCAGGTCAAAATCCATGTCTAATATAATATTAAGAACAGAAATAATATACTGCAAAGAAAAAGAAGGAAAAAGGGAGAAGAAAATGCACTCTCATTTTTCAGGAATCAGGCCAAAAGAATGTAGCACTAGTATATTCTTTATAATGATAAGCATGTTTTATCCCTGCCAGACAAATATCACACAATTGAGTCTAACAATAATATGCTCTTATGGTAGATACATTCGCTCTCACTTTCTGGGCTAATTTGTTTATTGGAGGGAATTCTGAAATGTGCAATTGTTCTAGTATATGCTTTCAGTTCCTGGGCTAATTTGTTCATTTAAAACTTGAATAGTTGTTAATGTTTCATTTTTTCTAAAACTTGAATAGTTGTTAATGTTTCGTTTTTTCTAAAACTTGAATAATTGCTCTAAAAGATACAATTATTCTTTCTAAAACTTGAATAGTTGTTAATGTTTCGTTTTTTCTGGGACACTAATTGTTTCTTATTTTCCATCTTAATATTACAAGTACTGCAAGAGAAATTTTCTTCTATTGCACATTAAAATACAGTCACTGTATTTCTCCAACTTTTATTTCACAGGAACCTATTCAAAATAGGTTTTGCTATATAACTAGCATATTTTTTTACTTATTAAGTTCTAAGTATAGTCGTACATCCACCAATAGCACCCTTTCAATCGCAACACTCTGAAACCATAGTGAATGTTCCCAATAGATAGAAATGAATACCGACACTGAATGACCGAAATGTTTATTATAGTCTGAACTCTGAAATGAGCTCTAACTCAAATTTTTTACTTCAACGAAATATTATTATGGATTACCAAAATACATGCAACTCTATGTGCTGTGAATAGAGGGGATAAGAAAAGGAGATAATAAACAAGCTTCATCTCTGAAAAATTCTGACTGGATTGAAATTTAAGCAACTACTCACATACTTCATAGAAATTGCCAAGCCTGCCTTCTAGAGCCATTCTATTGGTTTCATCAAGTTTGTTGCTCTATACTGAAAATACACTGTTCACTCCAGTTTTAGTCAAATTGCACATGTCATCCTCCTAAGGAATTGCCTATGAACTTACAGAAGTTCAAACATCTTACACTGCACAAAAGATCTACTGTATTTTTCATGATAGAAAAGTAATTTGATCGGGGCTTATACTTGCTTCTTCACAAAAAGAAAATTATAATTTGGTTGAATCTTCATTCACATACATGGAAGAGCTGACAAGTATTTACCCTAGTATGCAGGTGGGTTGACTAATTAGTTTCTGATTCATTGTTCTGTACAACAAATAGCTCCCTGACATCAAACCTTACATAATCAGCCTTAAAGAACAACTAAATATAGATCATTTAAAGTTTTATACCCCTTAACTGATATTTATAATATATTGAACAAGTTCAGTCTTTTCTAAAAGGCAGCTTACTAAGATCTCCTTCACAGTCAGTTACTACCAAGGGATTCTCAAAAGGGCACAGAACGCAATGCAATCCGCATCGTTAAACTGTTGTGATTAAAAATCTCAACAAGGCATCACAAAATGCAATGTAATCCGCATCGTTAAACTGTTGTGATTAAAATCTCATCAAGCACCATGAAGAAACATAGAGTACATCAATCATAGACGCTTAAGTATAAGAGGCTATCAAGAACCTTCATCCATACTTTATCAACAACCAGTTCCACTCATAATACACTCACCAAAAAAAAAGCCCAGACATCATTTCGCGCATGAACCCACAGTGACGCACTATTCAATAAAGAATGCATTAAATGTTGCTTTCATTAATATTTCTAAAGCTGAAGAACTCAAAATGTCAACTAAATGGTTTCCCCTTGCCATTATAGGTGAGAAGATGTAAGCATAGTTGCGAAACAGACAGAGAAAACAGGAGCAAGAATGGGTTAACTGGTTAGGATAGAAGAAGAAAAACATAAAACAATGAAGAACATGAAATAAGGAGTTGTCAGTATGATTTATCGCACTTATTTGAAATACTAGTCATTTATTTATTTATTTTATACACTGATTACACTGCCACTAAACTATCATGAACTGAGAAAGGATAGATTCAGTAGGAAGCATAATCTCAACAACTAATTAAGAGACTAGTGAAGGTATAGGCAAAGATCATTACCAGAGTCCATCCTGTCCATCCATGAAAAAACCCATACTTCTTTATGGCCTCTCCATCTGGCGACTTGTAGGTACTTGCTAACAAGCACAAACTTCCAACAATTGACATTTCTACGGTCATTATGTACGAGGTGTGTTTCTTTACCTGCAAAGGACGCCAAGAAAACAAACAAAAGCATAATCTCAGTGCAAAACTAAAAATAGCATGTGGATGTAGCTCTTTTTTGAGTTGAAGAACCAAAAAACTGACCTGCGAAGCCCATTGGCATAAAGCAGATGCCAAACCAGAGAGCACAGAAGCAACTAAAACAGGAATGATACCATAAAATAGAACCAGATCAGTGTTACTGCCACTGGAGCCTTTACCAGAACCCTCTCCAAAACTTAAGAGAACTGCAGCAATCACTAATAAGAAAAGAGCTCCAACTTGTTTCCCAGATTGCTTTTGCCTGAGGTTAACATATAGAAGATAGGTAGTGATGTCAAAAGTTATACTCCTTTTCCAGAAGAATATGATCTTAAATCTGTTTGTTTTTTAATATGGACAACCATTTATGGGATTATTTCTTTGGTTAACTGTCAAAAGAAAATGACCAGGCATCGTGCAGAATCTGCAGATCGACTGAAAGTAAGCCAGAATGAACTAGTAATTGGTCTTTTGAATCTCAACAAGTATCAAGAATAATTTTTAAAAATAGATGTTTGTTTATGTCACCACAAGGCCTGCCAAATTTCCCTCAATATTTTAAGTGCCAGAGGAAGTTTAAGCTTGACTGATGAAAATTTCGAAGTAAGAAAAATAAATTAGAATTATAATAAAGTTTACAGTGACATACAGTTAGAGGTGTTTAGAGGTTCGAAAGTTCTAATAATTTAAAAATAATTCATTACATTATAGTATAATGAATCACATAACGGAGCATCTTATTTTAAAAAAACACAACTTTAACAAAATCAACCAGCAAAAAACTACTAGCATGCTAACAGTAGCTTTCCTAGACTCAACCGAAACCTGAAAGGCTAGACCATAAGAATGCATAAGGTTTGTCTCTTATACCAGATATCACCTGCAACCATCAAATAATTTCACTGGCTCCATGGTACATTGTCAATCACATCCTAAAGCCACAACAAGGCCCACAACTATGCTTTAGCCAAGACTTGTGTTAAGACTTAAGACACATGGCTTAGGTTTACACACTGGGAAAGTTGAAGGCACTGGTATAAGCATTCAATGGCGAATAAAGATCAATATTTGATTCAAAAGAAAGAGAAAGGTGACATGAAATTGGCTAAAGGAGCATACCCCAAAATAAGATATGTGAAAACCGCTGTAAAAAATAGTTTTGTCTGGTTAAGGATGGAAAAAGTGAGTGAGTCCAGATTCCTGTAGGACATCTGCAACAGGCTGTTCTGCAATGCATAGATGGCAGCTGGAAGGCCTGATGCAGTTAGTGAACCAACAAAAGTCCACCGACTATATAGCTTCCACAAACTACCTTCTACTGCTAAGAGAATGAGGGCACAAATAACCTGCAAAAACAATTTCATGTATCATGCATTAGAGAAGAAAAAAAACTAATATTGGCAATAATAAATATATAACACAGGGAAATTACCTTTGCTAACTCACATACTAGAACGGATGATGTCACAATAACTTCTCTCCTGCAGCAGGATAACAATAGAAGAGATTACGGTTAACATAGTAAATGCCGCCAACCAGTTATAAGACATCAAAAAATATAATATTATATTTGCATCAAATAGTATGCTGGTTGTCAATTGTAAGTCCAACTGTCCAAGTAGCACAAAAGGTTAAAGCAGATACCAAAGTTGTTTTCCTGTTATCTCACCACCATAAGGATAACGATCAGTTTCTGTGCAACAAGGGAAACAAGCTCTCATCCTGTTCACTTCATAAAAGAGATGCTGAATTTGTGGAAAAGATAAATTTATATGCACCCAAAAGGTTAAGGACACTTGAGGATACTTAGAGATAAAATAAATAATAATAATAACTAGGTTCATCAGTCATAACACCACCAATTTACCGCATCAACATGTTAGCTAATGCAAATGCTCAAGCAATTATTTTCACTCTTCTTACACAAAGAGTCTCATCACAAGGAAGTGCGTGAGAAGTTAATTCTCTTCAACATCAGATCAAAAGAAATTGGTTATAGGGAGGAACTCTCCAGTAGCCAAACAAATATGCAAATGGAGCAGGCAATTCCACCAACTAGTTCATCTTTTAATTTTCTCCTTAAACCATTTCTCTGCTCTTCTCTCCTTAAATTATACAAACAAGCTCCAGATGTTAGTATGTGATATAGTATGATTCAACTAAATTGTAACCGCATGAATATTTCGAAAAGGAAAACGGTAAAAGGTAAGAATGTAAGTGCATAGGGTCAATCTAAAAGCTAAAGCTCAATATAAAATAATACGTCAAAAATTCTGTATTAGATAGGAAAGGGAGCTGGAATTGTGCATTTTTGCCCTAAATACCATAAGATTTGAGCCCTAAACCTCACAAAATATAGAATCAAAAAAAATACCGAATTCTTATGTAATTTCCATTTCTTGAAGCGTGCAAAAACGGAAAGATTTGAGCTCTTAACCTCATAAGCTCGAGGATCAGAAAAAAGTTATCCATCCACTGTGCACTTTTCAAAATTTTCAAGAATACAAATATATCATAAGATCTGAGCCCTAGACATCACCAAACCAAGAACTGAAGAGAAAAATCGTAAATTAAAAAATAAAAATAAAAAATAATCTCTGAATATCGAGAAATTACCCAGTGAATCGTTTGGAGATGAGCGGCTGAGCGCCGTACTGAAGAGTGAGGAGCAGCAGATACACCCAAACCCTAGCGTTGCGCTGCCCCGCCGGAGCAGCGTAAGCCATAGCCGAGAGCTCTTCGGTCGCCGGCGATTGGCCACCGCAGTGTTTTAGGAGAAAATGCAAAACCCCACTTCAAACCGAAGGATCCTGTTTTAAACGTGCTTTTAAGCTTTGATTTGAGCTGTTGATTAATTAACTTAATTAATCTTGGAGGATATTGCTGCATTTTTTATTTGTATTTTTGAACAAATAATATGTTATAGATAATAATGCCTAGTGTTATGGTGTTTCCACTCGCTCGAGTACTAACTTAAAAACCAAGTCAGGAACAAGTGTACTTTTGCATGTTATGCTCCAATTAACTTGGTGGCCAGAGACGAACAAGAGCGATCGACAAACCTCTATGTCAACACGAAAGGCGGTATTTGTCGCCCTCATTAATCGAAGCCGACTCATCACGAGCTCACTTGATCATTTGCCATACGCCTAGCGAAGTCGACTCGAAAGGCGTTACTTCTCAGCAAAATTAAAAGACTATTTTCGCATCGAGCTTCTCTCTCTGACAACGTGTGAACATCGCATTTAATGCTTGGCAGGTGCCATCATGACTCTAGCTCCGATAGTCTTCATGATTCATCGGATCACGTGAACCACTGCCCTGCCACCACTCACTTCTCATTTAATATTGAAGTGATCTTACCCCCAATCACCGGCCGACACTTGTAAAGCAAGTGCTAACGCGACTGTCAGCCCATGCTTCGCCACCGCCTCTCAGCGCTCAGCCGAAGTGACCAATCTACCCTTCTACGGTAGTTCTACCCATGGTATATATATAGGTATTATTCGAACTTTAAAGGGATTCAAAAACTAGTTAAAAAACTGATTCACAAACCTGATCTCTTGAGAGATATACTGCACACAAATAAGAACTCTCATAGTTCTTATTTATCACACTCAAGTTCATCAGCTAACTTGATCGTCAGAGGTACAACGGGGGAACCAAGCCCCGTCCTCTCACGAATTTCTACATGTGCAGATTTTTCAGCCACCTAGCTCAAGAACTAGACATAAAGTCGGAGAAGAAAGCGACTCCTCGTCAATCCTCAACAAACTCATTCAAACACGGATACATATTGACTGTGTGATCACTTAACATCAACACCTAGTATACACTAGAGGGGTTTGATAGATACTAGCTCTACAGCTAAATTACTAAATTGGCATTTTAAATAGGACTGTTTATTTTTGATTTTTTATTTTTTTGTAACATTATGGTATTAATTAACATCAAAATCAATAACAATGCAGTTATATTTTCAACGCAACATAGACCAATTTGGTTATTTTTCCTATATAAAATAATACTCTGTCATATGTTCATACTAATATCATAATATCACAAATGGAAGGGAAAAAAGTATCATATTAGAAATATGGTCTAACTTAAGGTGCTAATTTGGTAATTCAGCCATAGCTTTACCTAGAGTTTTTATTCATATGATATTGTTCAATAAGAAATCTTAAATGTTAATGATTTTTAAATATTTATTTTTTTTAGATATGACTTCTAAAAAGAAAATTTTAAATTGTTAGTTATTATTCCTAATTTCTATTTAAATTATTATCTTTATATTATTTTTCTAATATGAAACTATATGCACACATAAAATCTAGATACTTTGCACATCGCTCTTCAATTAAGCAGCAAAGGTCCAAGTACTCTCTTATTGCTGTCTAGTCTAATTTCAACGGACAAGGTAAAGGCTAAAGCCATGTTGATCTTGAATATCAATAATGTCCTAAAAATTACTGTTTATGGGGAAAAAATATTATGACAATGGAAATTAACCATACCTAACTTTATCATCATGAATTTTGAAAAAGAGAAGAATTCATTAGTAAGCCTTTGATGAAGACAAGTGTAGACATGAAGCAAACATTACATGATGATATTATATGCCGTCTACATTCCTAATACGCCATGTATCCGCATAGAAAGAGTTTGTGCTTCACAGTTCATATTTGCTAATTGCATACATAAATCACTAAATTACGAAGTCTCAACACAGAGATCAACGCAAATACAATAACGGTGAACAAATTCTCAAGCGGTACACAGGAAAAAAAACAATTTATATAATCTACATTTTTAATAATATGCTGTCTATACGGATAGACAGAGATTTGTGTTTCACAATTAATATTTCCTAATTGAGGAATTTTTCAAAGCAGCCCCAAAAAGTTTTTTATTTTTCAAAATCGATCTTTTTTTTATTTATCAAAATAGACTTACTTTTTGCCACGTGGGCTTAATGACGTTCCTAAACAGTCGGGGTTGTCAACCTCGACTGTTTAGGACATGAAAATTTTGGGTTTAATTGTTCTAATTGGGGTTTAACACCCTCCTAAACAGTCGGGGTTGTCAACCCCGACTGTTTAGGAACTTCATTAAGCCCACGTGGTAAAAAGTTGGTCGGTTTTAATAAATAAAAAAAATCGGGTCGATTTTGAAAAATAAAAATCTTTTTGGAGCTGTTTTGAAAATTTGTTCTTGCTAATTCGATATGTAAAGCACTAAATAAAGACTCAATACAAAAAGACCAATACAAATACGATGGCGGTGAACAAATTCTCAAGCGGTACGTATGAAACAACAATTTATGAGACATCATGTAACTTCTGATTCATTGTGTTCATATTCGATAATTCATGGGGCATAAGCCATCAATAATATACTATATATATAATATATATATATATATATATATAATACTATATATAATATAGTATATATCTAATATATATATATATATAAATATGATATTTTAACTGGCATATGGATGTTCCATCAACCGAATAGAGTGTGCGGCCCTCAGTCTTGAGCAAGGCAACAGTTGCACATGGAGAGAGTTTGTGAGCACCCTTTGATGGGCACAACATGTAAGCTGACTCAGTGACTCCACCCAAACGTAAGGGCAAACCTTAACGCTGCTACTTTGGATCAAACCCAACATTATTATAACCGGTACGTACCCCATGCAAACACGTTGTATATCATAAAGTAAAAATCATAAATTATATTAAAATATATGTTACAAAAAATATTGTCATCTGATATTTATACATTCTTGCTCTAAAGAATATATTTTAAAACTCTAAATTTCCTAGTTTAAGAATATAATATTTAATATATTACTAAAACAGTAGAATATCTCTTTCCAAAGTTTTGTCAATGTCAAAATTTTGCACCCTTTTACTATTCAAGAGGTCTATTTATTCTGTATCTTGAGGGAGAGTTGTTTTGGAAAAGTAAAGTAGGTTAAATTGGTCTCGATCTCTATTATATTTTTCTTCATCTTCCATTTTCCATCTTCCAAAGCTTAAATTGGTTCTATAATTCCTGTAATTTTAAAAAAAGTTAACGAGAAACAATTTATACATTATCTATGTTTTAGCCTTTGGATGTCAAAATAGGACGACTTAATGATGATTAATTGTATACATTGGTCATTAGTTTTAGAAGGTTGGTATCAAACAGTAAGGCCATGAAAGAAATTTTTTTTAGATGGTAGATTTTGAAGTAGCATTCTTCCAAAAAAAAAAAGAAAGAAAGAAAAATTCTAATATATGAAAAAGCAATGCAATAGAATGTTTATGTGCATAATATAAAAGGAGTAGAAAATTTACCAGAGAGGAGAAAAATAGTAAAGAGGAACTTGGAAGCCATTTTTGGTGGTTCTGACTGTAACAGGGTTTGGGCATTCATAAGTACTAGTTTTTGTGCACGCGCAATGTACGTGGTTAAATATTAAAATAATTTTTTTGGTTTATTTTTATACTATAAAATAAGTCAGAGTCATTTTGAGTTTAAAATCTATAAACATGGATTATTACATTTTCCATAAACTTTATTTAAACATTTTTAAAAAATTTATGAAATAGATGATTAATTTTGAAAATCCCTTGGGGCCAGGAATAAACAACTAACAAGCTTGCAGTGGAAGCTAGAGGAACGTAGTACATTCTTAAAAATTATTAATCTTTATTTAGTTTGTTTATAATGATATGATCTCATTATTAACTAACTACAAGGCCCACTATATTATTATTATTATTATTATGTTGGACTCATGTGAGTCCTCATTGTAATGAATGTTATACAATTTAAGTAAAAAAAAAGACGGGTTGATTAATGGTGTAGTTAGTGAGTGGAAACTCCAACAGCTTAATTTGGTATGTGGATATATTATAGATGATGATTTTGAAAATAGTGGGTGCGTGTGGGTAATTAATATGGTTTTTGTTTGTGTGGTTTTCTTCGTTCATTTTCAAGATATTTGTGGTCCTGTGGATATATATAGTTATAGCATTGCTACTCTTTTTTGATTTTGTGGAAGAGTTTGGGTGTTAAAAAATTAAATTATCTAATCCAGTTAAAATATGATCATATGAGTTAAGCCCATACATAAAATTTATTTTAACCAACACCCATGTGTAAATATTACAATTAGCATTGAGATCTAAAATATGTGTGAGATTCTCTTTGACTTTTAAACAAACAATATCTATTTAAATAATAATAGTATAATTAAACTTTGTGACATGAAAAAAAGATCAAATGTAGAATATAAGTAATTGCTTTAAAATAATCTAATCTAATCTAATAAGAAGAAAATAGATGAAAGTGTTGTGAAAATTATTGATATTTCTTGATATGAAAAAATGTCAAATATACAGAGAAAAACTTATGTCAACTTAAGTGGACGTCCACTAAGTTTCTTAGTCATTGATGATCACTTGATTGAGCTACATTGTGGATGATCCGCTCCGTTGAACTTGATTTACATATTCTAAAACCCCAACACACTAAATTTGGGGTGAACCTATCATGGTTTGACCCTCCGTCGAGCCATGTAAAAAGTTCTATTCATTCGAAACCGTTAAAATTGATATGAGTGGATGAAGGGTCAAATCACGACGGGTTCACCCCAAATTTAGTGTGTTGGGGTTTTAGAATATGTAGATCAAGTTCAACGGAGCGGATCATCCACAATGTAGCTCAATCAAGTGATCATCAATGGATAAGAAACTTAGTGGACGTCCACTTAAGTTGGCATAAGTTTTTCTCCAAATATACAATATAATTAATTTCTTTAAAATAATCTAATCTAATCTAATAAAAAGAAAATAACAAAGCATAGATTTGTAGAAGGAGATTAAAGTGTTATGGAGATTGTTATAATTTCTTGGCTTATATACATTGGTATGTGATGTTGCATTTGAGAGGATAACAATTGTAAATAGAGTTCTATTTAAATAATAAGAGTATAATTAAACTTTAAAACGGATTATGCAGTACTGTGAACTACTTGAATTTTAGTTGGTGAGAGATCGTCACGTTGTGTCATCATATCGTAGTCGTTTGTTTTAATTTTCCTTTTTTATAATTTTAAGAACAATTTTGTCTCTTTAATTTGTTAGGTGGATTTTGCAAATACCTCATCCACATTATGGACATTTGTAAGTCTGTATTGTTTCTGGGTTCAACCTCTGGGGTGGACATTATTTGTCTCACTAATTTGTTTAGTTTTTGCATATACGCACTTCACCTTGTACACATTTATAAATTTGGCATTTAATAATTTCATTCAGGTTTATATTTTAATTTAATTTAAACTATATCATTATCTTCATACTATGTACATCCTATAAGAATTCATCAATTTATCAACTCACTCTTACTTAATAGATTAGTATTTGAATTTTAAGGGTATTTTTATCTACCAAAAAAAATTCTCAATTCGTGCTTTTAAAGAGAGTATGAAATTTGAGGTGGTTACAAGTATAATATAACAAGTAATTATGTTAATGAAGAAATTCCAAATATATTTAAGGTATTCTTCTATTTTTAATTAATTATTAAATTAATAGTCATGATATGCATATTCCGCCTCAGATAGACATTTAATTGTTAAATTAAAATTATTAATTTGATTAATAATTAGTTATTGATATAGGACTCAATTGGTCTCACTAATGTCTTTAGAAGAGGGTTACACGCAATATAAATTTTATTCTATCTTTGATTGTTATGGATAGAGTTTTAAACAATTATGAATTGTTTAAAATCCAAATCTACAAGGCTAGTTTAATCCTATATATATGGTTCATACATAGTCTTATAAAAATACAGAAAAATCTTATGAAGATAAGATGATGAATAGAATAGAAAAAATAGAAATTTGAGAAACTAACTCTTAGTATTGCTCCTCTTCAATGACAAGTGGATTTCAATTGGAATTTTTTTTCTCTTAAGGAAGCTATTTCGAATTGATCTTATTTATCTATTTTTAATTAATTATTAAATTAATAATCATGATATGTGTATTCCGCCTCGTCATATGCCATGATTCCAACAGATAGACTTATGCAATACTTAAGTTGGTCCAAAATCATGACCCCAAAAGTTTGAAAGTAGTCATCATCAATGATTCAATCTAAGTGAAATGACGAGATGAATCTTTTACATTCTATTCCTTCTGGAGTTTATTCTGAGGAAAAAAAACAGTCAAATTAGGGTCGTTTTGTTCATTTCATAGTTACTATACTAATTTGGTCAGAGTACTTAACTGGGGAACACTAGGATCTGAGTTTTGACATTCAAACTTTGGCCATCATAATTGAGATGCCTGATTCATGTAAGGCTTAAAAGAGTGAATATCTGCATACAATTTCAATTGATGGTCATTGCTTTTCATATTTTTAGAAGGAGCCAGTCTGGTATTGTTAGAATTTATAATAAGTTATTGCTTATATAATCTGTTGAAAATAGGTGTTCAGCAATCATATATCAAAAGCGGGTTCTAAAAGCAATTAAACTGTTTGCTAAAAATATACTTAAATATTATTTACTAAAGATGAAAATCATATATGGTATATAAACTAAAAAAATAGAAACTACTTTTAAAAATATCCTGAGGTAGTTTATAAAAGCAGAAATTGTTTTAATAACCATGCTAAAAAAGGTTTAACAAACATTATTACTCACTGCTTCATGAAAAACTAAATTGAAACACCCCAATAAAAATAATACCAAACTGCCCCTATAGAAAGTTGAGATGTTTTTATAAGTTGAAAATATATCACGCTTGTATTTGTTTAATCAAATTGAAAGGCAAGGCTACAACTGGAGTGGTTTGAGACTTAAAAAGGATGAATCCAGTAGATGAAGAGGATGAAGAGATTGATGTTAACTGCAAATTTTACAGTCTTATTTTTATTTGACTTGTGTTAGCCATTTGAAGGAAACAATTAGTTCTCCGTTTTCTTTTTCCCCTTCACTTGAACAAAACAATTAATATTCAGACTCGCAAAGTAAGAAACAGAGAGGGGAGAGTAAAAACGCAGAAGAATCTCTCAAACAAGCATTAAAAAAAGTGTGGTTTTATTATTAGAAAAAAGAAAAAGAAGGTGTTCGCAATTATCAAGTACAATCTCATTAGAGATTTATACAGATCCTGCGCATGAAAGTAAACTTGCAATATCGCGTAAAAAAATCATGAATCAGTGTGGTTAATGGTCCATGGAAATTGCTTATAAGAAACAAGTGGAATGAATTTTGAATTACAAGATCAAAACTTTTCAATATCACGATCATTTCTCTTTTCACATGAATAAGCAGGAGCTCTCTTTTCATACGGATTAGCTCAAGGGATCATGCAAAAATAGAAGATTTCAACACGGCCAAATTGAATCCAATCCAGGGCCTTTCTTTGTGATGGCGTTAAAACTCCTGCCCTGCAGCCAATAACAAAGAATTGGTTTATGGTTACCGCCATAAATTGATGCACGTATGATGTCCCTATCACTATTTAGAATAATTCATGAGGATTTATAGCAACAAAATCATGAGTAGTAGTCACCGAGCAATATCAAAACACCACTTTCCCAGTTGTCCTCTAGACATTGTTCTAGAAAAAACCCCTCATCTATACCTTCAACAGCAAATTATGATATCTACCCATTTTTAGGACTTAATCATCCCTGCGGTTGACATTATGAGAAGAACAAATCACAAATAACCCCTCACTCAGAAATTCATGTGATCTCTACCCCATTTTTAGGACTTATCATCCCTAAGGTTGACAATATGAGAAGAACAAATCACAAATAACCCCTCACTCAGAAATTCATGTGATCTCTACCCCATTTTTAGGACTTATCATCCCTAAGGTTAACACTATGAGAAGAACAAATCACAAATAACCCCTCTCTGAAATTCATGGGGGACAAATGCTGATAAATGGGGTAGAGATCCTCTGCATCCTTGATTATAGAGAATCTCTACAACTCACCGATCAAATATTCCCAATCAATGAACCCTATAAATGATATTAATTATCTAAATAATATAAAAATACTTTTAATTATGGGACCCACTAAGATAAGCAAATAATATTTGTCCTCTGACTAATGGTAGGCATTCTCTGCAATCAAGACCGTAGAGAACAGTGAACCCTATGAATGATAGTAATTATCTAAATAATATAAAAATACTTTTACTTGTGAGGCCCACTGAAATGGGCCAATAATGTTTGCTCATCTGACTAATTGTAGGCTTTCTCTACAATCAAGATTGTAGAGAATAGTAAACCCCCTGAATGATATTAATTATCTAAATAATATAAAAATACTTTTAATTGTGGGACACACTGAGATAAGCCAATAATATTTGTGCATCTAACTGATTTTATGCGTTCCCTACAATCAAGATTGTAGAGAATCAGGACCCTGATAAGTGTTCAATTTTTTTTAAAAAAAATAGATATTCAAGTAGTGCATAATTTGTAAGATATATAGCAGTAAGGATGGGGAATGAGTCAGTCCTGATTTCAAAAAAATCAGTCACCTAATGGTTTTGGCCAAGGACATGAAAAGAGCAACTAGTAGCTAATATGACTATTAACTCTCTACTCCATGGGTGGCTCTATTACATGACTAGAGTAGTGAAGCACAACTTGCAAGAAGATATGCAGCTCTCAGGAATCCTATACAGCATATGATGTAAGAAAATTCATCGAAAAAGGACAGATTACAAACGACTCTTGCACAGATTAGCAAGATTGTTTCAAATGTGTGATATTTTACCCTTCATGCAGTTCTTATGTTCTAACTGATGTGTTTGATTATTCATCTACAACCATTCTTCTCTCCAGCATTTTCCATGGACAACTCCGGAGCTCAGTATCATCGTCACATAAGGGGAAAAAACACTACCCTTTGCCAAAGCAATAACACAACCAACTTATGTAAGCGAATCATATATACTAGAGGGAAAGATGGAGGGAGGCAGGGAGTCATCTACCGCTAATCTCGTGCTGTTAAGTTCAGTTTGTCCTAGGACAGCTTATATACTTGCAACTTATCAAAGTATATATGGGCATATCTGCAGTTTCATGAATCTGGATAATGTTTCTAAAAGGACTTGAGCTTCAAAGGTATAGAATCACATAGTGAAATCTTACTTTTTTGCTTATACCAAATCATAATGAATGACAATCCAAGAAATTATGAAAATATATGTTGTTTGCCAGGCTCCAACCTATAATTTGCCTTATGGCGGGTTCTCATGCAAAAACTGCTTGAAGAAAGAACCATCAATTTTACCAGGTGTGTCAGAGTGCTCACGATATCTAAAAAAAATAATAATAATAATAAAAGAAATAGAGAATCAGCAGATACCTGAATACTTTTGCTGCTTTGTATATCACTATATTCAACTAACGTTTGTGCCAACTTTGACGAGGCTGCTTTGTCCACCGTCTGAGTACATAAATGCAACAGGCTGCACTTACCAATCCAAGCACAGCCAGAGTAAAGATTCCAGCATTCTCAAAGTTGTGATAATAGCCACGCTACAAGAAAATAGCACAATACTTGAATCAATTTATATGACCAAATTCATAGAGAACGTCAATGCTATAAATATAAGGTCAAAGACCTGGATAAGAATGAACCAAATTGCTGCATTGGCCGGTGCTAATGATAAGCTTATCATTCCTCCACGCATCTCATTCGGAACGTAACTGAATAGGGAACAAAAAGGGCTTAAAATAACCGTTTCATAATAGAATACTGCATGTTAAATCGGTTGCAAGATTTGGCTCACATTGTCCTCAATCTGGCTAGTGAAGGTAAAATAAAGCCCACACAAGCATGAAAGATGCAGAAAAGTACCACCAGTAATCCAATCTCCTATTGATATTAGAAATAGGAAAGTAAGAATAATGATTTGAATTCAATTATGAAACTACACAATGATTTCCATCTGCCCATTTTTCCATCTAGGTAATACCTGATAATCATAAGCAACTACAAGCAAGGACAGAGCGGCAACAATGAATGTATATATCAGGCAGTCTTCGATGTAGAGCGATGAAGCCCGGCCAAAGAACCATGGGAAGATAGTGCTTCCAAACATTTTTGAACCAAGGAAACATGGGTATATAAGAGACAAACTCACAACCCTCCCATCACCCTACAATACCAAATTGAATATAAGCTTGCAGTTTATTTAGTTTTAAACAAAAAAGTGAACTTTGGATATGAAGACTAATATCTCCTAGAGTTACTTTATCATACATGTTTTTTCCCAAGTATCGGCCACCAGTCAATTCAATGAAGCAGAACCCCAACAAACTGAAGGTAAAATCATGTTGAAGAAGTAGGATTTTAAATGACATACAATAGCCAGTTACACATCTTAACAATCTGCAATATAATCATTTTATAAGACTAAGGTCTAGCGATGACAAACAGCATGTCAAATTACATATCATATTATATTTTTGACGTTTTTGACTTGACAATGAGTGCTGGTTATTAGAATAAGCGAGGATGGTACGAGTTCCTAATTCAAGCACAGAAGACTAATTTCTAAGTGAAAGCTCATTATAGATCCACCCCCATCCCCCCATCACCGCCACTCCTGCCTCCACTCGTAGGCCTAAATAAGCCTAATGTTTCAAGCTATATCATATTTTTTTTGTGCCTCAGAGTTCAATGCAATTTCATCAAGCATTCATATCATCTTTTCCCTTTACACTTTCTTAGTGTAGAATAAGGGTCCCCGCTTCTTAAGGTTTGGCCTTCTTCAGACTTCAGAGCTTGGGGTTTTGATATCTAAAAGCAACATCAACTATAGAACAATCTCCCAATACATGTTTCGATAATCTCATGACAAGCATTTCAAACGGATGTTAAATACATCGATACTAACCAGGAACAGCAAGCAAGTCGAAAAGTAGTGTATCCAATTTTGTCTAATATGAGATTGGAATTGTGCCATGTTGTACTTTACAAAAAGAGGTGTTATATGTAATATATGAAAACCTACTATGTACTAATTCAAGTCACATCTCGAATACGACTATCAAGTGTCAATATTCTAAAAGACTAAAAACTGTGTTAAAAAGAACTATATCACTAGAGAATAATGCAAGTATTTAAGAACCAATAGGAACTAATCAACTAATGGCAACCTAATTTCAGTATTTAAGAAAAATTATATCACTAAAGCTTCATGCAAGTATTCAAGAAGCAACAGGAACTAATCAGCTAGTAGAAACCTAATTTCCCTTGTCTGTCCTTCTGTTAGTCTACTGGTATCATGAAGACTCTTACGCCTCGTTTGGTACACGGGGATGAGTGGGAATGGAATGCAATTCCAACTCTTTATTCATGCGTACCAAACACGATGTATTTTTAGACGCTAGAATTGTTATTCCCACTTCTTATCAATTCCCACTTTATGTGGGAATTATCATTCCCAACCATTTAATAAGGAATTGATACTCCCCCTTAAGTGATAATAAAATAATCAAATAATTTCCGATTATACCCTCCTTAAAAGATACGAATAGATATAAACTCTCTTATGAAAAATTATTTCTATAGAAATAATATCATTAACTACTCGTACAAATATACAAATAGATGTAAAATATTAAAATATTATTCTTTGTTTGACTTGGCCCTAGTTCTATCACGGATGCAGTAGAAAATTTTTGACTCAACGCAACTCGGTTAGGTAACCATTATTTCTTTTTAAAATATGTATGTGTGGCTAATCTTTACCTAATCTTTACAATAATTTTTTATCTTTTGGTAACTCGGTTGCGTAATTTATTGGCAATTAGGTTAGTAAATATTTTATCTTTGGATGTACGATTTGAAGTTCCATTGAAGCATATATACCTAATCTTTTCAGTAATTTTTTCAAAACACTCACAAAAAGAAACAATGTGCTTAATTGATGAGATTGAAAGTTTATGTTTTGATTAGAGGTTAACATGTTTTCTATTCCTTCAAACTTTCTAGGTTAACATGTTATATATTCCTAATCAATTTTTTGAAAGTTAAAGGTGCATTTGAAATTTCATAGAAATTTTATATACAGACTAAAAGTTAACATGTTTTTCGAATCCTTCAAATTTTAGTGTTTTCTTTCAATCTCTCTCTTCATGCGTGCACATGGAATTCAGTCATAAATCATGTAGCATGCATATGAAATTCAGTCTATTATATACGTTTGTGCATAGTGATGCTAGTAGCATTAGCTGCTCGTACAAGTAATAGACATGTAGCATTAGAAGTTAGAAATATAAAATTATAATTATTTATAATTAAAAATGATTTTTATGAAAATTATTTTTCAATTAGTAAGCCAAAAGTCCGAAATTGTTGCTGAGACGGTGTACCAAAATATAACTATCAACGGAATAATTATTTCTATAAGAAAAAATATCATTTCTATAAAACTTATTTTTCTAAAAAAATAAATTATATAGCCATTTTTAAAATATTTTTATGTTTTTAAAATTGTGTTTTTGTAAGGGTATTATTAGAAAACTAAATTTTATTCTCACTTGTGAACAAATGATACCAAACTTGGGAATGAGAATAAGATTGTCATTTCATATTTTATTTTCTAAACACGTCCAAACATGAGAATGAGAATGTGCATTTCATTCCCATATATATTCCATTCCATTCCTACCTTTTTTCCATTCTCACTTGACTTCATTCCCGCGTACCAAAAGAGGCATTACAGGGACATGTCAATAGGAAGACTTTCATCATTAAGATATATAACTTTAGGGAAGGTTACAACTTTCCTACCTATGTCTTGGTAACCTTATTAAAAGTTCGGATAAATTTACTGAATGACAAATTGGTTATATTAAACTTATTTAACATTTATAGATCGGAATGCTATCCATAGAATTTTAGAGATGGTCTCCAGAAAAGGGGGACAAAGATTCAACAAAAGGTAGAAGCAAAGAAAATCCCAAAAGGTTTAACCTCTGATGTAAGACAAAGAAGAGACCGTGTCGACCTAATTTCATCTGTCAATCAAATGCCTTCAATCGTCATGAGCAAGATCAAAGATGTCACTGAAAATGCAGAATTTTGCTAATAAAAACCAGCCTACAAGAAAACCTTAGTGGAAAACAACCTCATACAAGCTGTTGGAACAATCAAAACATGAAGAAAGGAACATGGATTAACTGGGAGTATTTTCCTCTGTCACCTGGAGAACTCCTCAAGTAACATGCGAATTGACATGATTCAGCCTTATAAATGGCAATCATATGACAAATATGAAGGATAGTGAATTGACATGATTCATCCCTATAAATGGCGATCAAGTGAGAGGAACGAAATATAGCAGAGGCAACAACATGAGGATTGATAGTAGATCGGACTGAAATTGTGGAGGATTCTGTACTGAGAATCTGAGACGGAGATACATGAAGATTTCACAAGGTTGGATCATGAGACAACTGAATTTGACTAACCCATGTGATGGCACAGTTAAACTCTGTATGAAGTACAAATTAACAAGGATCCACTGGGATGCAAACTTGAAACCATGAGGTCATACAACGTGTATAATGGTTGTTGAGCGACTTCCTAAGAGCAACTCTCCATTCCCCATCATACTGCAATCAAGGAATTAGCCACCTTATGCATCTGTACAAACCAAACCACTTTATCCACTAGTACTCATGGCAGGTTATCAGCAGGTTCTTGGAATTCTTTATTTATTTTTGGGCTTCCCAATCCCAAGGATGGAGAATAAGCAACGTTCTGTACAAACCAAAACATTTTAACCAGCTAGTACTCACTGCAGGTTATTAGCAGGTTCTTAGAATTCTATACTCATTTTTGGCATGCAAATAATGAAAACTGTTGTTTTTTTTTTGTTTTTTTTTTTGTTTTTTTTTTGGGGGGGGGGGGGGGGGGGGGGGGGAAGAAGTCAAAGGCAAATTTCTAATTGTTAGGGGTGCAATTGCACCCTAACTCGTATGTAAATCCGCCCCAGTCTACATTGTAATGTTGAAATCAACTCTGTTTGTATTTAACAAATACAAAAGAAACCAAGTTCCAGATGATAAATAGCAAATTTACATAAGATTTTTTTCCCCAATAGACAAATGGCGTGTTTCATTAAGAAGAGTAAATTGTGGTTTCCTTTTTCCCTTTTTTCCTTTGTTGTTGCTGTCGTCGTGCAAAATGGATAGATACAAACAGTTGTCACATCTCACAAATGCCTGAATGCTCAAAAGAAAAGAAAAGCTAAAACATAACACAACATGAGATTGCATGGGTAGTACAGAACATGTACTTCAACTAGATGCCCAGCTTCAGTGGCAACTAGTCAAAAGCATAGCATAGGCCAAACTGTCATCATCCACAATATTGAGATTAGAGCTCCACCTTGTCATAGTGAAAAATTCAGAGACTACTGGATACAAAAGGGTCATGGCCCACATTCAACCAAGGATCATAAATAGAGCCGTATAGGTTCAGAAAAACATATAAATGCAACAATGTAGTCACTTTGATAAAATTTATAGAAACAAATGCTCATTCTACCAGCACCTTGCTTAAAGGGAGGATAACACATTTGAAATGGAACAAGCACGAGTAAAACAAAAAAATATGGGATTTTGATCAGGGAAAAAAAATATAGCAACTGTTTAAACTTACTACAATTGTCGGTGACCAGAGAAGCCAGAAGACTGACATGGAAAAATAGATGCTTGTTTGAGCCCATGCTAATAGCCATGTCCTCTTGTCTGCCAGGCAGAAACAAAAATTGAATAACAGGAAACAAAAAGGTGAATCAGTGAGTATAGAGAAACAGATACATGTTAGGTCTGGTTTTCAACATATAATAACGAACCAGTTTTTTCCGGATGCTTTAGGTATCAAGTTTTATGATGTGCCTATATTCGGATAATTTGTAGACTTTGAGGACGCAAGATGCGACTCTTGTATGGCCCTTCAAGTCTATCAAATGATAACTCTATAATTCTGCTTGGACCTTCTATTCAATAGACATAAGTTCTAGTTATATCAACTAAAACTTATGAAATTTATCAACTTGTTGGTCCAACTTATTTACATATTTAAATGTCCAGCTATACATATTCAAAGTTCTCAATTATTATAACAAAAGAATAATATGAGCACGAGCTCGAGGAATTTAGTGATAGCTGAGTGTAAGTTTAGCAAGGAATTGGGTTGGAATTCAAATTATGACATAGAGCAAAAGTAATATTTCAAGAACATAATATTCAGGCTTTGGAAGATAAATTCACAGTTTTCTTGCAAAGTTTACTTCTCAAAAATAAGAATTTGCAAATAATCAACTACTAAAAAGTAATTCTTTCACAATTTTTTACCTTTCAGAATATGTCCAACAAAAGACTTCCTATAGTTTACAACAGCAGATTTCTTCTGATCTCCTTTCCATTCTTTCATGATATAGAGAATGATCATCGTTGCAAATATGGCAGTTGAGGCAGAAGGGGACACAAATGCTTTATGAAGATCCTTGACTAGAAAATTTGCAATCCCTTGACTTCCAATTAAAGACACAGACTCGAAAAAGGTCATAAGCCAAAAGGTTTCATTCAACAAGTCTTGCCTGTGACCTTGCTAAAATCAAGAACAAAATTGTTAAAAGAAACATTGAGAAAAAAAACATTAGAAAACTTGAGCAGGTTATCCAAATGCAAACCTTTTCATGCTCGTTTACCATCCATGTCTCAAAGCAAAATAAGAACATAGAAGACGCAACAGCCGGACAAATACTTGTTATCCATATGCTTGGATGATTGCTCAGGCTCTTCATGATGCCCATGAGAAGATGAAGGACGCAAAAGAGCAGACAAGCCTTTCTTGGACCTCTACAACAAAAGCATATATAACTTTCGATAAATTGCAGAGTTTATGAACAGAGAAATCGACTTATTATGAGAACCCAGATGTAGTAGGAGAAAGTAAAAAAAGGCAGCAAGAAATATACAGCAACACTAAAATATTTGCTATCATGGTAAATGGTTCATAAATGAAAGATGTCTCGGGAAAAATATACAAACTGTTTAAGGTTCAAAGTTTTTTTCTTAGAATATTTAATATGGCACTTAAGAAATGAACATATCATGTGCCATTAGTGTAATTTTTTATTGACCACTCAACCTTCTACTTTTCATGTGCTTTTTCATGCCATCATCCTGACCAAGAGAAAACTAATGGCAAAATGCAACAGTCAGATAAATAGCTAACAAGAGGCCGAGGACATAAACCACTACTTCATGTTAAAAACTACTCGGAGGAATACGCTCATAAAATTGGCTACAGCTCCATGCGTGTCTCACTCAAAGCATAAAGTAACACCAGCAGGCAAAGAATTGCATAAATGTAGCAAATTTGGCGACAGCAGAGTGGAAGGTTTGTAAATTAAGACTTACTAAAAGTACTAAGTGAGTGTAGCATACTATTCGAAAAAAACCATGGTATTACCATTTACCTTTCACATTTTAGACACCAGTAATGACAGTGTCTATTTATCTTGCAGAAGAATAAAGCAAATACAATGCATATTTTATGCCCTCATATAGTATTTAATCAAGGGGCGTGTTGAATTAGGATCAACGGACATGCCAGCAAAAGATTCTCATTCATCCTCACTAATATGGAGGGCTCATCAAGAAATATAAAATACTAAAACAGGACATGAGAGAAAAGCAAAATCCCCTAACGAAGTAACTGGAAATAGATTACACGCACTACTTGTTACTTGAGGAGTCAAATTTACAACTCTCCAACTATCATCATTCAGATTTCGAATACTTAAAAGAAATAAGAATCATAGACTAATATCTAAATTCCCCTCAACTGTGCTGACCCCTGCAATTTGAATCAACCGTCAACAAGCAGACACCCCTTCGGACTATAAACCAGCACATAACGCAATCAAATCGAAATCATAAAAGACACAGCAAATAAATAGATTCAGATAAAATGTTGTTTGGCTCAATATTGTACAGCATTCCTTTCAGATACTGATTTGAGTAGTTTCCAATTATAATTATTGTACAGACTAACCAATAACTTGTTTGGCATATAAAATCAGATTTACTATCTTCTCAAAAAAAAATCAGATTTACTATCCCACCAAATTTGTCTAAAAGCAGGGAGTGAATCTTTACATGATATCAGAGGCAATTCCTGAAAATTTCCGAAGAAACAGCAGTGGCCGCTACTGAAATGTTGCTCATATCATGATTTTGAAAGCTCAGAGCAGTATAAATCATTGAATCACAGACCAATATAAAGGTCCCCAACAATCCTGACACACCAGCATTTGAATCAACCACCGCCACACACACAACCCTTTGGAGGAAATGGGTGCATCATAATCGACAGATCCCAGTGTTATCGAGGCGCAAGGCGCAATGCGGGGCGCAAAGGTCCCTTACGCGCACCATGCGCAAGGCGCACAACAAGACGCGCGCCTCACTGAGGCGCATAACTCAAATTAATATTTACCAACATCATAAGACAGAAACATATAAGCAACCTATTAGTTACCTACATCCAAAATTATGAGAATATCAACTTAAATCATCAATTATGCTAACTGAATTTTTAAAGTAACAAAAAAGATACAAGAAACATGTATTTAAATCATCAAATTAAGTGATTAACAATTATGAACATATGCTTATAAATTATCACATAAAAGACTAAGAAATATATAGATTAGCAACTAGTAAGAAAGAGTATATTACATGATATAAATATGTAATTATGTAAATTATTTAAAAAAAATAGAAGAAAGAGTATGTTACATAACACAGGTGCGAGGCGCACGTGAGGCGCACGCGAGGCGCGAGCAAGGCGCATGCGAGGCGCACGCGAGGCGCGCGCCTTGCTGCATGCAGCGCCCCGCCTCGCGTGCGGGGCGCATTTCGCCCAGGCTGAAGCGCCCCGCGCCCGGGGCGCGCGCCTCAATAACACTGACAGATCCCACTAGAATGTTACCATATAATGATACAGTACGCTATTTTTCCATATATAAAATGTAGTTGAGTTGTTTCTGATCAATAATTATGGTCACAAGCAACTTCAGGCGCACCTAACCAAGCCCTAATTGTCTCCAAAGAAAAGGGTAAAGACTCGCAAGAGGCTGACAGTATGCCAGAGACAATTCCCGAGAAACCACCAAAGAAGCAGCGGTGTGATGGCATAAACAACAGATCCTACCACTCTCTCGCTCACTCCAATGAACAGTACACCATCCAACCCCCCCCCCCCATATTATACCAATTTAATTAGTTTTTTCCCAATCAATTAATTATGGCCTGCCTTCACCTACATTCAGCCAAATTTGCTCGAAAAAAAGAAAAATGAACGACGTGCAAGAGGCTTTACACGATGTCGGAGACCATTCCCGATACCGATCCAAGAAACAGCGCGGCCGCCGCGCCGGCGGCGAGATACATCACCATCTCCTCCCTCCCGATCCCATAGTTCACAAACTCCTCTTCTCCCAACACCGGCTCAAGCCCTTGCATCACTTCACACCAAACAAAATTTTATTAAAAAAACAAATTTCAAAAGATGGGTAGAGGGGAAATTTCCCGCGGACCTGAGGAGAGAGAGTAGAGGAAGAGGAACCGGCGCTGGAAGCGGAGGAAGGGGGTGGCGGGGAGATGAGGGAGATGAAGCAGGAGGCGAAGAGGAGGAGGAAGGCGAGAGGGCTGAGACGCCATTGCTCGACCTCGATCTCTGCAACGGCCATGGCGCTGTTCCTTTCTCGCCCTGATTTGATCCGGGGAGATCACCGCGTCAGTGTGAGTGTGGGTTTGTTCTTATGAAAAATTGGGCCTATGACTGTTCATACTTTAGGCGCAGGTGAACTTGGGCCGGGCCAGTACTGAGTACAGAAGGGAAATAAGCCATCCATGTCTCAGAAGAAATTTTCATTTTAAACCCAATCCAGCTTTTATTTTTAAAAACCGACACTCCCATTTTAATTACCGAAATCGATCCACTTTGTGGGCACGTCAGCAACGTGGTCACGAAACGGGTCGATTTATTTTAATCTCGTCTCTAAATAGTTGGGGTAGCCAACCCCAACTATTTTGCTAATGTCCTCGCTAAATTAGTCGGGGTTGGCAACCTGACTAATTTAGGAACCTGTCTAATTGGTCGGGGTTGGTAACCCTGACCAATTCAAAAACCCTTTTCGAATTGGTCGGGTTGACAACCCCGACCATTTAGCAGAGACATTTGCACCCAGCTGACGAGTCGAGCTGGAATCGGCTAAGGCAAAATGGTCGGGGTTGGGAACCCCGGCCATTTCGAACTACGACTTTCAAATTGGTCGGGGTTGCCAACCCCGACTAATTAGACAGTGTCCTAAATTAGTCGGGGTTGTCAACCCCAACTAATTTAGCTAGGACATTAGCAAAATAGTCGGGGTTGGCAACCCCGACTATTTAGAGACAAGATTAAAAAAACGGACCCGCTTCATGGCCAAGTTGCTGACGTGACCACAAAGTGGGTCGGTATCTAGAAATAAAAATAGAGTGGGTCGTTTTTTTAAAAAAAGTCTTAATGGGTTTAAAACAAAATTTTCTTCCCCAGATAAAAATTAAATATTCTCCTCTCATAATTTCTATTTTTAAAGGGCTAAAAAAACACTTAAATACCTTACCTTTGGTCCTAGTTTGCACTTATATATACTCTCACTTGTTTTTTTTATAGCACTTACATGCCATTAAGTTTCAAAAAACTTGTACTTTTAGTGCCCTATGTTATGCAAACACAAGAATTTTCTCTTGAGCTTCCCAATGGCGCTCAAAAATTTTTAAGGGAAAATTGTGTTAAGACCCCAATCTCTAGGACTCTATGTGACCAACCCCTTCAATCTTTTTTCCGTATATTTCAGCCCCCAAATTACAAATCTATGTGATTCAACCCTTCTTTAACAAGTATTCCATATCAACGAAGCACACAGAGAAAGAAAACAATAAAAAATCTCAAATTGTCCTTCTCTCCTTCACTCTTTTCTCTCTAAATCTAATGGTCATGGCTCCTTCTTCCTCTCTCCTAACCCATCTCCTTCCTTCTCTCTCCCTCTTCCTCATTTTTCCCTCAAACACAACGATATCCCCCTTCGTCACAACCGAACTTAGGTGCACGCTCCGGCCATATTTGTTAATTTGGGGGTATATTACTTAGAAAAAACTCGATATTATTCACTTTTTTTCTCCCACTAGTTTTCCCCACTCTCTCTTTCTTTTCCCCCCAAAACTAAAACAAACCCAAGTTTGGCCGGCAATGGCAATGGCAATGGCGAAACCCTCGAATTTGTTGAAGTTCTTATCGGAGGATTCGTCAAACAACAGATCAGTCTTCGACATTGAAGGCGAAGAGGTGGCGAAGAATGATGCAGAGGAGGCAGTGTTGGAGGGGGAGGATGAGGAGCTCGCATGTTTAGTCTAATAAAATTTATAATTTCTGTTTGAACATCGTGGAAAAGTGAAAATTTAAAGAAATATCGGCTAAATATGATTATTTGACAATTTTTGATGTAAAATTCAAGTCCAATATAGAATATTAAGTCTAATGAGTTGGAAGTGAAGTCTAAGGGCTTGTATGCTAAGTCTATTAGGTTGAATAATAAGGCTAATTTGTTAAATGTTAAGTGTAATGAATTATATGTTAAGTCTAATTTACTGAATGTTAAGTGTAATTTGTCACATGTTAAGTCTAATGTGTTGTATATTAAGTCTAATTGATGTGGTGTTAATCCTAGTTTGTTGAATGTTAAGTATATAAAGTTTCATGTTAAGTCCAAATTGTTTCATGTTAAGTCTAATTTAAGTTTATGTTATATCTAATTTAATTCTTGTTAAGTCCAATTTAATTCATGTTAAGTCTAATTTAATTTGTGTTAAGTCTAATTCAACTAATTTTAAGTATAATTTTATGTTAAGTCCAATTTAATTCATGTTAAGTTTAATTTCAATTCTGTTAAGTCTCATTTAATTTATGTTAAACTAATTTAATTCCTATTAAGTCTAATTTAATTTATGTTAAGTCTATTTTAACTTGTTTTAACAGGAATTAAATTAGACTTAATAGGAATTAAATTAAACTTGACATGAACTGGAATTAGACTTAACATGAAACGAATTTGACTTAACGCAAAACTAGACTTAAGACAAGTTGAATTAGATTTAACAGAAATAATATTGGCCGAACTTAATAGGAATTAAATTAGATTTAACAAGAATTATATTAGACATAACATGAATTAAATTAGACGTAACAGGAACTTTCTATTAGACTTAACATGAAATGAATTGGACTTAGCATGAAACTAGACTTAAGACAAGTTGAATTAGACTTAACAAGAATAATTTTAGACTTAATAAGAGTCAAATTAGACTTAACAGGAATTAAATTAGACATACAGAAATTAAATTAGACTTAACAGGAACTTTCTATTTGACTTAACATGAAACGAATTAGACTTTACATGAAACTAGACTTAAGACAAGAAAATGTGAATGGAAGTGGGCCGGATTTGTTTATGTGCTGCAACTTGGACTTTCACAAGAAAATGTGCTCAAATAAATGAATGGAAGTGGGCCTTGGAAAAATCAAATAAAGATTGGGCTAGAGAAGAACAAAAAGCAAATTCAAAGGTGGAGATTGTTGCTTGGGGCTCAAGACAAATCCAATGGCTCATATTCATTAAAGATTACTATAAATAGGGGTAGAGAGTGAGGGGTTAAGGGTGTGAAAATTTTATAAACTCCTTTTGGAGAGGAGGGCTACTCTTAATTGAGAAGGCCTTCCAAAAATTGTAATTTTAGTTGCAATTAATAATAATAATTTTTTCCTCTTTAAATTTGTTCTTTCTCCTCTTTGTTGAATGATGAGGATGGAGATGAAGAGCAATTTGAAGGTTTGCATTTCTTTTCTCTTTTATTTCTTTTTAGTAATTTCTTTATTATTGCTTATTAGTTAGATTTAAATTCATGCTTGTAGTGTAGATTTATTTTCTTGTCTTTTTTATTTCTTTTTGCACTTTAATTTGTAGAATATATTTATTTTCTCGTATTTAATTTTTGTAATATATTCTGTAGTGTAGATTTTTATTTTCTTTGTAGTTAGATTTATTTCTTGTTCATAGTTTAGATTTTTCTTTTCTTTTTATTTTTGTAATTAGTTCTTTTTCTTGTTTTTATTTCTTAAAGATGTGAATTTAATTCTTGTAGGAAGTTTAGAATTATATGAAACTAGTCTAATTTCCTTTATATTGTATGAATTATTCTCTTGCACTTAAAATGTTCATGTTTAGGATAATCAACTAGAGAACTAATCGGTAGAAGAAGAATTTGATAATCTATGCTTTCCTTAAATTGTTTGATAGGTTATGCTTATGAATTCTAGGATTATTATCATGTTGTTGTTCTTATCATGAATAGTAATTTTAGCTTAGATGATAATTTGATAGGTTACACTTTCCTTAAATGGTTTGATAATCTATGCTTAATAAATCTAAGTTGAAATATGATAAAAAGAGAATAGTTTATATTTTGTAATTGAAATTGGTTAGTGGATTATATTCTAGATTTCTTACTTCTTTTGAATCCTCCATCTTGACTTTCTTAAATTTTCTTTTCATTCTTGGTTTTATTTCTTGATTTTATTCATTCATCTTTCTTGCCTTGTGATTTCATTTATTCTTTAATTCTTCCTTCTCTCCTCTAAAATTCAATTTATCATCTTTTGCAAATATTCACAACAATCACTCATCACATTCACACTTATTCTTTATTCCTAATTGTCACGCACAAAATATAAGAACCAAGTTTAATAATCTCTTAAAATCACCTTCCTCGTGGGATCGATATCTTTTATACTATAACTTGATAAATTATGCACTTACAATTTTGGTACATGTTTATGCCGCATCATGAATTAAATTAGACTTAACAGGAACTAAAAATTAGACTTAACATGAATCAAATTGGACTTAACATGAAATTAGACTTAAAATAAGTTGAATTAGACTTAACAGAAATTAAACTAGACTTAATAGGAATTAAACTAGACTTAATAGGAATTAAATTAGACTTAATATGAACTGAAATTAGACTTAACATGAAACTTTATAGACTTAATATTCAAGGAATTAAAATTAACATCACACCAATTAGACTTGACATACAACACATTAGATGTTTGATATATTGTGCCAAATATATAGTTTTGACTAACAATTTATATACTATATGTATTATATATGCACTAACATATCAATGCACATGTAAACATCAAATATGCTCAAGATATGTGAACAAAGTGCACGATGAGTTCAAGGCAACATAAAGAAAAGAAGAAAATATGCGTAAATGTTAAAATATAATTTTTTACATTTCCTTTGCTTAGATCTTATGTACAAGCCTTGATCACTCACAACACATATACACACATATTATTAGAATACACTAACACATGCTTAGTGTGTAGTTAACTATAGAAATCCCTCATGTTAACCATTAGAGTTTATAGATAAAAAATGGGTCTCAAAATATATCATATATCTCATATGTACCCCTTAGTAGTCGACCAATAACAATAGTAGTCGACTACTCAAGCATTGGTTAAAATATCAGACTCTGCGTTATACAGTATAGTCGACTAATTAAGCCTTAGACAGAATTCCAGATCTTGTGATTTTACAGTGTAGTCGACTAATACACATTGTAGTCGGCTATTAGACAGAATTCAATAATCTGTGAAATTACAGTGTAGTCGACCATTGATAAAAGTAGTCAAC